ACTTTTCATAATGTAGCTGATAAAATTATCGGCAGAAACTATTTAAAAGACTCGATTTCTCTATCATTCGAAAAACGTACATTGAATGACTACTTATATCAATGCCTAAGTGATTAGAAAATACACTCTTTTAATAAAATATAAAAAATTATAGAAGTGAATTTAAAAACCCAAATGAAAAGCAAAGAGAGAGAGAGAGAGAGAGAGAGAGAGAGAGAGAGAGAGATTAATGATACGAGTAATCGCTCTTTGTTGTAACAATATTCCAAATTCTCGATATTTATTGCTAAGGATGACCGATCGGTCGATACCTACTCAACTTCCCATTAAGATAGCTATTAAAAATCCAATTCCTAATTATATTGATCTCTTTTTCAATGAGACGACGAATTTTTTTAATAAGAAATTACTGTTTTTCATTAAGAAAGATATTTCATTGATTTCCGATTGTCGATTACCTTACACGTCACAATCGTTTCTCATATTTCCTTCAACATTCAACCACTAACTATGATAATTTGTATTTGGTATCAATTATCATTGAATATTACTAACTATATCAATATATTGTTCGATATAGAAAAACGTCTTTGGTATTGTCGTCAAAATAATTATAATCAAAATAATCTAAATAATATTTATAAAATAATCATTTTTATAGGCATTAGCATTAAATTCTGACACAAATAAGCTGAAAAATAAAATATACTTTTAAATAGATATTATGACATACTAAATAAAAATATAAAAAATTATTAACTAATTACCTAAGACAGTAAAATTGTAAGATAAATTTAAATTTATTTTCATAATTTTTTATAAGGGATTCTCTCTCTCTCTCTCTCTCTCTCTCTCTCTCTCTCTTTGTCTCGCGCTCATTCAATTCACTTTATATGAAAGGAAAACAAGAAAACAACATTAAAATTTTTTCCCTTTTACCATCTCTTTTACTTATGAAGCTTATAAAATGTAAACTACAACGATGCTTTTTGCTCAATCGTAGGAATTTTGTGATGTTTGAATTTTTTTTACAAACAACTCGCATAAAAGGTCAGAATAGAAAAATTTTTGGATTTGTCCCAAAAGTGAATTGGATAAAAAGCGCTTTGAATCCGTCAAGCTTGAAATTCAAATCTTTCTCAGAGATTCTTCTAATCTTATGTTATGACATTGTATTATAAAAGTTATATTAAAATTAAATGTAGATTGTACAATATTTAATAAATTTACTCATTTTAACTTTACAATTTAAATTTCATCTTCATTTAAAATGCAGTTTTATCATTTCGATAATTAATTTATATTGATCTGAAGTAATGCACTATGAAAAAAAATATCATAAAAAAAAAACAATAAAAAAAGAAAAATAAATAGCAGTGGACTATAATGTGAAAGACAACATATTATTAGAAAAAAATATATATTTAATTACATTCTGTAACAAGGTGACTTAATATTAAAAACCTTTAAAATAAATCGGAGTTCTTTATCCCAATTTTATTCATATTCAAATGAACTACCGATTAAGATTACAATATTACTGCTAACTTATTCTAACGAATATCTTGATCGCGTTTTTATTTAAAAATCGTGCATTATAAAGCAATTGCGATAACATTTTTCAACTTAATAATAAATTTATTACACAGCAATAAAAAAAGAAATTTCGTAAACAGCAAAGTTTATGGCTAAATTACATTACCTCAAATATTATGATACATTAAGAAGCAAAGATTTAAAAAAGAATGTTTTGTTAGCTTCATCATACCGATAAATTCTATGGAAGCAATAGAATACTTAAATACATTAGTACATAAAAGGTAGATAATTTGATAATTGTAGAATTCCGTATAAACGATCCTTGAAACTTATATCAGTTGTTTGATCTACGTAAAATTGTAGGTTAGGATCAATGTCAATGCATGTTTTTAAAATTAATTTCAAATTTTCATTTATCACTCACTACTATATGCAATATACTTAGTACTAAATTAATAAAAACACGGAAGTAAATGCACATGTATATCATTTCAGATTTATATACGCAGCATTATTCATTTTTTCTTTGAATTAATTCAATTCCAACTCTTTTTATTATTATAAATTATATTAAAGTAATTTTTAAATAATAGAAGGTGCAAGTAATTTTATACGTGTCATGTTACATTTTCATACATATTATTTATAAGAATACTTGTATTCTGTATTGCACCTAATTAATAACTCATTTGCATGTTTATTATAAGTGTATATGCATGCATATATATATATATATATATATATATACACACACACACGTATGAAAAATGTAAAGAGCTTAAAACACGAAATTATTTTAAGCTATTATGAAACTTAAAATACATCGTAAACTAAAAAATAATATCAATTATAAACTATTCAAGTCTTAAATATTTAACTTTTTTATAATACATATTTAAGCTTGAAATAAGAAAAAGCGTGGGGAAATATGTTGAAACTACAAAATGTAAATAGGTAAAAAATATTTTCAACAAATTTCATAAAAGCCATTTAAAATTTATTTATTTCAAACTAGTAGGTAAATAATTTTTTCAGCTTATGTCCAATTTCCAATTTTATAATTATAAATTTGTTTTGATAAGTGCAATATATTTGTATGTGTATATATATATATATATATATATATATATATATATATATATATATATACCTTCATTTGTCAAGATGTTTTGTTTGATTTTTCAAAGGCACATTTAACTATTAAAAATTTTTATATTGTTTTAAAAGATAAATAGAATGTAACTTTTCGATTTATAAATTTAATTTCGTTAAGTTATAAATCATGAACATTAAATTAATTATAAAATTAAAACCTACTGAAGCATATAAATTAATAAATAAACGATATAAACAATTTAATTTACAGTTCCATTACAATTTAGTGCTGTTTTAATTTCTTCAGATTCTTATCTTATATCTTATAATAAATAAATATAAATCAAATATTATAAATTTAACGCTATGATTACGAGTTTATGTAAATTAAATTAACATAAAAATTTAAACAAAATTATTAATAATGAATTTAAATTAACAGAATAAAAGTTCTTCGTTTCAACATATTAATATATAATAAGATTCTTAATCTAAATCTGTACTTTATTGAAATATGGGATTATGTTGACTTCAACAAGATTTAGTTTATAATCATATTATAATTGAATGCCTTATCTTGTTAAAGTGAAAAAAGTTATTAAGATTTTTTATATTTGATATAATTAACTTCCCTTTACTTCTAGAAATTATGTAATATTGAGCTAAGTAATGTATTAATAAAATCAACAAGGTGTTAAAGCCTTGGGTAAATGTTTTATATATACTTTATATAATTAGCAACTAATTTCAAATATCAGAACATGATTCATTAGAATAATTTCAATTTTTAGTTTGTTAAAATTAATAAAATTTGTAAAACATGGAATTACAATTTATAATAAATTAAAATTCTCTCAATGAATAATTAATCCTAAAATAACATCTGACAAATTTATATTTTTAGGCATTGTGTCTAGGCATATTTAAAAGTGTTTGCATTTATTTATTATCGCATATGATTAGCGTATTATATAATTTTATTAATAGAACGAAAATTTGAAGTTACCATTTAAACTTTAAATTTTACAATTAAATATACATTATGTATTTTTTTTATATTAATGATTATTACAAATAGTTTGACTCCATTTAGTGTATCTTGTAATTCTAGATGTCTAGATAAATATATTAACTATCTCTTTTCTTTTATAAAACAATTATTCAAAGGGAAGTTTATGTACACAGATTTAAAAAAATATTTTTTTATTTGTCATACATATTTGAACGTATATAGATTTTTTGATATATATTTTTATTTCCTTTCAAACGAGTCAAATTCTACGAATCACCGTTTTGGAAAGTCGCCAAAATATAATGTATACACGCTTTTCATATTAATCCTGTTAGCATAATTTAAGAAGCACTTAATTATAAACAAAACCTTTAAATAAGAGATATCGAAGAAGCTTTAGGTATTGTCGAGTATTAATTTTGTTACATCGCACAAGGCAAGGCAAGATTGTCGTTATCAATTATTATTTGATACGCCAGTGTTAATAAAGATCTAATCTCTATTCCTTTTCTAGTAAATACTATTCATCGGAGGGACTAAAATAAGACAATTAAACTGCAAGCTTTGTTTTAAAATATCCGATAACAGCACCAATCCCTACCTTGCTCTCCATAAATTTCATTCGCGTAGAACTTTTATATCGTATATTGAAGAAAATATTGATTGCTTTTTTTATGTAATTACTTTTATAATAATAAGAAACTTTGTTATTATTTCTTTTGTTTTAATCCATTGTTATATAATTACAAATATATTTATTGACGAAATTGTTCTCTTGTTCTAGCTATTCGAAGAAAAAGAATATATATATATATATATATATATATATATATATGAAACATCATTCATTATACTTGAAATTCAAAAGATTTATATTATAGTTAAATATATTAATTAAAACATAATATGCAAATACATATTTTTTAAAGAAAAATCTATCAATTAAATTTATAAATATCATTTGACTTTTATTTATGTATAAGAAACTGTAAAAATGAGAGAAAAAAAAATCAATAAAGCAACGATCGCTGTAACAAAATAGGGATTGATACATTAATATCCGATTTTTAAAAAATAAATATAATAAAACACAATTAAAAATTAATAATTGCATAGTTTAGTATCACGCAAAAAATTATACTTAATTAATAAACAAGTACTATTGTCGACAATAAAATTAAATTTCTTTCAACGGTGTCGACGATCTGCCCAACACTGCGAACAATAGTACTGATTCTCAGAAGATCCAAAAAACGGACAGTTTTGGGTTTGACATTGTCTACTGCGATCCTATAGAAAAAAGTGTAACGAAAATTAAAATGAATGAGTACGACGAATCTAAGATAATCAAATTTATACGTACATCATTATTTGTCAAAAATTCTTCAGATGAAGTTTGATCATTATAGAAGGTTGATCTATGGAAATATATACATGAAATTGTTGAGAAATGTATAGATATGCAATGTGAAACCAACATACAACATACATCAGCAATTGGCTAAATTATACAAAGGTAAAAATCTTACCTTGACAGATGTAGTGTTCTATCTTTGTTAGGGTTCGTTGCTGGAAGCTTACTAACACTTGCATGACTGTCACTATCGCTTGCAGCATAAAACTTTGATTTGCCAGCTCCATAATTCATCTCGCTAGCAGAACCAGTAGTCTTACGATGTTGCAGGTACCTAAAATGATTATCAATGTTTAATAGAACGAGTTAATGATGTTTATCAGATAATAATATTACTACCTTGCACGAGCGCTTTCAAAATAATTCTGAAACATTTCGTCAGCATATTGATGTCTTTTGCTTCTTATTCTAACACAAAGTAAAGTATCGCCATATCCTCCAGAATTAGAAGCTGGTGGACTCTTTGGTCTCTTAGTCATTGCTAAAAATTTTTTACTAACTGATTTTCCAATAGATCCAAACTGCTTAGCTACATCCATTAATTGTTTAGCTGTTTTATTTTTTGCAGCATCTGACTCAGATAACCTATCGATTTCACCAGGAGAAAAGATCTGTTCTTCACAGTCTAAATATTCCTTTATGTAAGTATCCATCTATAACACATTGTACATTCGTTTAATTATTTAATTCATTATTGTTCGATTAATGACTCTTTGCATAAAAGTAATACATCTTAAATAGCATACAATTATTATAATATTAATGTGTACAAATACTAACTGTGTCCATATAAGACAAATTCTGAGAAGCGTTCCAATCACAGTCAGATCCTGGATCAATAGCAAAAAGTACAGGATATAAATGACCAGTATCAGGATCTACGAGTGGTATACTATATCCTTCTATACTGCCTTCGCTTGGATCGGACCTACTGTCGACAGTTACGAGTGGAGAAAAATGTGCCGAATGATATGCCAATAATAGTGGTGTTCTATGACACTGTGCTACAGGAATTTCGAGAGGAAGATAGATTCCTCCAAAAGGAATTGGAGCTAGTGCAACACCGTTCGAATCCCTGAGCATTGTGTCTGCTATAACGATAATAGGTCGCCGCAAAACATGTGCCAGAGCAAGAATGTGTATCTAAAAATTTAATTCAATTGTATAGATTAATAATTAACCAATACTCAACTAATACTATAAAATAAATGCAGAATTTATAAGTTTTCAAGGTCATTAAGCGAGTATAAATCAATTATAAGCCGTAATTTTTTAACGTTGTTATTTAACGTTTAATATTAGTGCATAGATATTTCCAATAGATCCATATAATTTTATCGTTACACATAAATACTACATAAATTTATCGTAATAAAATAATCAGTTATTTGACTTTTTTCTACTATCGAGTAATAAAAGATAATTTTACTAGAGCTATATACCTCTTCTAAACTTTGGTATGAAGTACTCATTTGATTTCTGGGATGTACCGATGCCATATCTACGATTCCTTGCCATTCAGAAATCCATTCTTCTTCGGTGTAGGCTAGCCCAGAAACAGCATTCAAACCCATTTGTCTCCACCTCCATCTTCTACAATAAGTAATTAACATAATTAATACTTTCCTATAATAATGATAAAACGTTTGCTTACCTAAATAGGGCTAGTCGATATTCTCCCCGTGAAAGTGTATTGTGTAAAGATTCTCTAAGAGTGAGTTCTCTATCATGGAAACCCCACATCCCGAGGGACGCAGCATGAAGAAGACAATTTCCATCTCCGGTTGTAGCAAGTGGCCACAATACTCTGTGCTTCCCTTCGCACCACCAATTTAGTCTTCCAGCAGCTTCTAACGATGCAAGACATCCTTCTTCTATAAGATCCTTCTCCAAAAATTGATGAAAATCATCTATAATTTATATATAATTTTTTAATAGTTGTATGTTAATATTCAAGTTTTTATATTTTGTGTTTGTATATAGTATGTTTTGTTAATGAATAAATCGATCGGCATATGTCTGCGATACATACGCAATTTTAACTTATTGTTCTGTATAATTTCATAATTATAATTTCTCATCTTATTTTTTTCTTAAGGATCATGCTATCTTTCTTACTACTAATAAGTTTTGTGCGGTAAATTTATATCAAATATATTTTATAGTACATCTTATATATAATTATGCATATTATAATAAAATTAAAACATATATTAATACCAATTAAAAAAATATATATATGATATAAAATAGATATAATATATATTAATAATGACTATTACAAGGTCAATATTGATTATGCGTCTATATTAATCATTATGAGAAAAAAAATTGAATAAAAAAGAGAGAAAAATTTGTTTTCGCTGATAACTATAATTATAACATTATGACTGGACATTAAGCTTTCTTCTTTTAACTAAAACACTATTAATAAAATATAATCACAATTAATATGACTAGTAACTAATAATAAAATGATAAATGTCATATAAATAAAAATTATAACTTAATTGACATGGAAAATATCATTTTATGAATAAAACATCGATTTATGTAAGAATTGATTTATATGCTTTATCGCGTTTACAAAAAATAACTTATTTTACAAAAGAAATAATATTGCAACTCTATGAAAAAGTTTGAACTATTAATTTAATTCGGTTTCATAAACGTTTAAGCAACGTATTATGTACTTAATAATCTATTTTCAATTTAAAGCACATATTTCACAATCTGACCTGGATAAATAGACAAATCAGGTAACGAAAAGGTGAACTCTAGCATGGAAGAAGATTGCCAAGCATGCAGTCGAACGTGCGTAATAATATCGTCATTTTTAGTTGCTCTTGAAATGCCTCTGAAGAGTTTTTTGGTAGCTCCACCAACCGTAGGCTCGAGAGAGTTGCTACTGGAGCTACCCTCTTGATTAACCGCATCATACATGGATAAAGCACCATTCATACCAATATCGTGTAGAGGCATTCACTTTCACTTTTACATTACTGAAATAACGGATATAAGTGCCACTGTTGCTTTAACTCATATTTTAATACTCGCGCAAGAGCTTGTGCATCTATTCATCTGAAAAAAGATAAAATGTAAAATTCATTAGAATATACGAACAATACGTTGTATCATATAAGCGCAACATATAACAGAGCTTAGTTTCCAAATTAAACAGTGACTTATCGATAAACATCCAAAGCAATAACATTAACCTACTCTTCTATAAAGCAGAGCTTCAAAATAATAATATAACCAAAGCGATTATATATATATATATATATATATATATATATATATATATATATATATAAGATTGGCAATTTACTAACGTACATTAAGGAATAAGACGTTTTGATTTAACGATAAATTAAGCTCACAACTGCTTTAACCTTTGCCATTATGACGAATATCATTCCGTTTACACAAAATGCTTGAATCACAGACGAAATAATCTTAAATCGTTGGATCAGAATTTAATAACTGCGTACGATCGCGCATTTAATTCGATTAAATGGATAAAATGAAAATTGTCGGAACAATTGTCAATGCAAGAAATAAGACTGTATGCTTGAACGTAAATTTGTCAACATTCACACTGATCTGTAAATTCTTCAAACAAAGTAACTTACGTAAGGGATTCTTTAATATGAACTCAACATCGAATAAAAACATTCGCAAACGGGAAAGCGTGAATAGAAAAGCGGAAAGATTCGGCAGGGACGCTTAGTTAACTCGAAATCCGAGAAATTGCGACTAAAGAGGAAGAGCGAGCGCGAGCGTCCGCCGTTAATTGTTTCTATTCCATCAGAATTGAAAGCAGTAGGCGAGTTTCGGCATTGTTTACACGCGCGAATGGTCCTCAACATAACACTAAATAAAAGAAGAAAAAATCGAGGACGAGCATGTGTATATGACTCTGGCCGTAGATGCGTAACAAACGTGCGCGAGCTATTTTATATGCGCGTGTGCGTGCCTCGTACGTGCCCGCGATACCAAACACTACCAAAGCAGGTAAAACGCAGACGACATGTTATATTATACACTCGTGTGCGCCTCAGTGCCGTGCGTGCGTGCGTGCGTGCGCGTGTACGTGTGCGCTATGTCGGGTATTCGAATATACTCCAAACCTTGGCCCGCTAATTAAGTAAATCAATGCGCCGCCACGAGAACGACGCAGTGGTGGTGGTGATTTTTTCGCCTTCTCTGTGCCGTCGAAGCCAATGATGACGACGTGCACTTGAACTCATAGTTTTATTATCCGTCTGCGCGTTCCACCGCGACCCCCCACACTACCGCCACGTTCTCTCTCACTCTCGTCTCACTCGCTGCACGTAACACACCGCTTCTCTTCGATCGAACCTCGCGGAAGTAAGAAACGCGGGCTGGCGGTGGCGTTTGTCTTTTTCCTTTCCATTCTCGCCGACTGACTCGTCCTAACCGAATGCGCAAAATCGAAATTTTAGTGCGTAGATGAAACCGCCTGCCTACCTACCATCGCAAGCCGGCCACAACACACACACACACGCGCGCGCGCGCACGCGCGCACGCACGTAAAGACCCGTTCAATCATAATTCCACCTGCACTCTATCTACAATACAACGATAAAAAGTCTCCCCGCGCACAGCTTCGACGTAATTATACACACGCGCGCGCGCACACACACACATATATCAACATACGTCAACATATGTACGTACAATGTATTTTAATGTTAAATCAGCCTGATGAGGCTAATTTTATTTACGAGATGGGCCGAGAAAATTATTTATTAAACGATTCCATCAAAGATCTAGCAATATTAGCTATTGCTGTGTAAGTGAGCCCATATTGTCGTTGAATCGATCATTAAACAGGTATTTAAGAGATTAAAAGAATTTTTAAAAATAACATTCAGAGTAAGTTGCACGTGGAAGAAAAAATAATGTATTCAAGTACATAAAAAGTTTATATAAAACGTATCGTAAAACACGAATATTTAAAGAATAAGAAGAAAATACTATATATATATATATATATATATATATATATATATGTATGTAAGGCATGAAAATGCAATATTATTTCAAATAATATTCACATAGTAATAATTCATTGTTTTATTGATAATTTATTGTAAGAATCATTAAGGTTATGAAATGAATAATATATCGAAGCACTAACGTTAAAGGCTCGCAATTGGGTTATTTTTAACAATTGGTATTTTTTTCTTCAAATGCAATTAACGCCCATATCTCCTTACGTGACTGGAAAGTATAAAATGAAAGCCTTCTCTCGTTAGATTAGCAAAAATACGTTACAAAATACATTACGCGCGATAGCAGCGAAGAAGTAGTATGAAGACGATTACGAGATGATGAAATCTCTACCTGGCACATTATAACTCCGCGTGATAAGAAAGTGATAACAAAATATGATAATTGGTGTATTAGAGATAGAAATGACGAGATGCAGCAACGTCTACGGTAGGATCAATAATCCATAAGGTTTTACTGTTTGACGAGTCCGGTAAATAGCTCGTGACATTACACACGGATGACGCGGAGCACGAGACGCGGGAGGTCGGACTGAGAGGAGAGGAAACAAAGAAAAAATCGTATTTTCAGAAGGGACGAGAGAGACCGAGCGTGACTTAACGTGTCGATGCCACGTATAGCAACAAAACACTTTTCTTATTCGTCGCAAGCAAATAACGTCATTGCTGTCGCGGTGGCGAAACCATCATATCGACACCAATCGTGATGATATTCACGTGAAGAGTAGGGACGGGGGACTACGATACATCTCCTATCATGTTTGTCGCAAATATTAAGGTAAAGAAAAATATAAACGGCTTTACCGATCAATCAAATGGTAGCCAATGCAGAACGAGAGGCATACGATGAACGAATTGCATCTTCCTTACCTTTTGCACCCCATTATTCCATTTCCTAAATTAAAATTATATCAGCATATTTCATTCTCATGTGCGCGAAAGTAAATAAGTATTGGAGTTCGTGTCGTAGATTGTAAAAACGAGGAATAAACAAAATAGCTTTGCGTAATGATGGGAAGAATATTTTCACATTTGTTGTCCCTATTTGGTTACACCTCGAGCTTATGTTGATGTGACCAACAAGTCACATGCAAATAATTCTCTCTCTCTCTCTCTCTCTTTCTCTATTGATTTTGAATTCAAATCCCTGCAAACTCTAATTTACACCATCGAATCTAAGGTAATTTGTTTGCACGCACGTACTTCCGTGTAGGTCTATAAATAAATACTAATTCATTTATCGATATTTGCTTCTATTATCAATGTATTATTTTTTTTCAAAAGGTTGGGGGGTGTTGGGGGGGGGGGGGAATGAAATGGAAAAAATATATATTTCAATAGCATTCTGTAGTGGCAGATAGAGTTAATATTAATATTTAAAAGCACAAGTGTAATAAAATATTTTCATGTAATCTAAATAGATACAACTGTTTAAAATAAATAAATAAATAAATAAATGACTCGCATAAAAATACAACTTAACCTTGATCCCCACATTATTCAATGTTTCATGTTCGCACGTCGAACTTGAACTCCTCGATTCCTTCTCATCTGTTACGGGATCTTCATCGTCACTCGAAGGTGTCGCACCAACGACATGAGCACTCACGTAAAATATTTAGACTTATCGTTTATAATTTTAAGTATTAATTTTACGTACGAGAAAACGTTAAGTGAAATTTAATATACAGCAAGAAAGCGGCCTGTTTTAATGACTCGATGGATATCATTTTCCTACCACTTTCGAAATCCCATTCGCTATTAAGCAATATTAAAAAACGATCTTTTTTTTTTTTTAACATTAACATATGTTAATAAGTGTCTCGAATTTAATCAGAGTTTTACAATATTTTGGCTACAATGAACAATTAATTATTAAACAAACAAGAGGATTAAAGGTCGAAAAATATGAACAACAAATTGTCTATGAATGTGATTTATAATACAGCTATGTAACAATGTATCTATATGCAATAACAGGGCTCATTAATAAGCATAAACATAATTAAGAAACATGTAAGTAAATTCAATATACAAAGGAAAGGAAACATTAAACGGAAAGGAGATCGTATCAGCATATAAAGCTAAATTTATACGACCGTTCATATCATAATCTACTTCTTCCGATTTGCAAACAACTCTAATCTTCTGATTACTATATTCTTAAAGATAATATATGCTTAAACTGTATATTAAAACATGATATTATATAAACATCTTCATTTACAATCGACTCATTCGAATTCTAAATAATATTAATTAATTATCGACAAATTTTTCAAACGTTTTAACGAACTACCATAAGATATAAATAAATGACACACACTAAGCAAACATTGAGGAAAGATAAAGAACTTTTCTTAAACTCAAAACGATAAGATTATATTACAACTTTGATAAATAAATTGGAAATGAAATATTGAAATGAATGAAGACGTGAGTTGAGTAAAATTTCAAGACGCTTTTTATTTAACACTTATAATACACATTACCAAGAAAGGTAACAACCATTCATTAACATGATTATAATTGCGTTTAAATACATTAATATATTGATAATGATTACACATTTGGCCTAAATACATATCTTTACAAAAAGAAATTTATGGAAAAACTACGATAACCACCAACATTCTGGTGATTATTTTTAAAATAAATACTTGAAAATACTATATTCTACTTTTAGAATAATATTAATCTAAAATTTTTTTAATTATATATTTATAAATATTATTAATGAAATTATAAATAGTCATTAACTTATTATATATTCTAACGGAGTAAAATGTACGTCGATATTCCCATCGAAAGGCTTTAATATAATTTCTGATTTAAGTTTCATCTCATGCGGTTTCAAAACACTGGAAATGTTCCATTTTTGCAAAATTCCTAACAAGGTATGTTTAATTTCTAAAATTGCAAATTTCTGCCCAATACAATTTCTTGGTCCAGCGCTAAAAGGAACATATGCGTAAGGATGTCTTTGAGCATTGTTTTCTGGTAAAAATCTATCCGGATTAAAGGTTTCAGGATCTTCCCAAACCTCAGGATCGTGATGTAATTGATATATCTGAATACTGATCCACGTTCCTTTTGGAATAATACAATTATCTGAAAAATTTAGAAAATGTCATTCTTTAATCACATTTTACGGCCTATTATTTCTAATAATGACTCAAATATAAATTCTTCAGGCCCTACCAAATATAGTTTCCTCGTCTAATTCTCTACTAACTACAGGAACACTTGGATATAATCGAAGGATTTCCTTTACGACTCTATTAAAATATTCTAATTGAGCCAAATGTTTACTCGTTACTTGCTCACAGGGATTATCCAATACTTCATTCAGCTCGTCACGAATTTTTTTTTGAATTTCCGGAGCATTACCAAGAGCAAAAAGTGACCAACTAATGGCGGCAGCTGTAGTGTCGTGACCCTTCAAAAATATATTAAAAAATAAAATATTTGGGTTCTTTAATACAAATGTAGTAAAAAAAAATCATTTATAAACTTATTATTCATACAGCAAACATGAATGTCTCCAGTTCATCCAGTACCTCCTTAAACGATAACGTATGATTTACTTCTTCGTAATGGTCCATTAAAATATCCAAAAAGCGTTTTGGATAGCGCTTACCTAAATATTAAAAAATATTAAGAATTGTTAATATTCATCCATTTTAATAATAATAAAAAAAAAACTCATAATTTTGTTAAAAATTATATCTTTTACCATTTTCGTCGTAATTAGTATCCGCATCGTTACTTGCACAAATTTCGTTTTGTCGTTCTGCTAGTTTCTGTTTTATTATCTATTTCAAACATAATTAGTTTTGCAATTTCAAACAAATTTTTATACATATACCTTTCGTGTATAATTATGCATAGTTTTAACAGCATTTCTAGCTTCCTGTCCCAATTTTGTCATGGAGAATATAATGTCCGATGTTAACCAAGGACGCATGAATCTTTCAATATTTAATTCAGAGTATCTGACAATATGAAATATATATGTTGAAGCGATATATCTAAATATTTTATCATTAATATTAGTTTATTACTTTTTAATTTTTTGAGCATATATATTGTCTGATCCAAGTTGTGAATGAACATTGACGCCAGTGGAAGCTTCACTAATTACATCAAGAGCATAATTAGTAATTAATCTATAAATATTGATAGGGGCGTTGGGATTTTTTTGTAATCGCGTCTCTATAATGTTAGTTAGTACTTCAAGATTTTTGTGCATGACATTTGCATAATTTTCAAGAGCATTGAAGTGAAATGTAGGAGTTATTATTCGTCTATGCTTTTGCCACGTTTCTCCTAAACATCGAAAGAAAAAAATAATATTAATCAAACACACACGCGCGCGCGCGCGCGCGCATACATGTATTTTAGATGTGCATTTATGTAATTCTAATACCTGTGGATGTAATGAGTCCTTTGCCAAGCCATGGCTCAAAATTTTTATAACCATTGCTTTTTGTTAGTAGCTTTCTATTTGATAGAACTACCTATTATTAACGGATTAACGGATATTCGTTAACGGATATTTTAATATATATTTTAATTTATCATTGGTAATTAAATTTAATCTTTCAAACGACATGTATTCTTTAAAAATTGTTCTTATTGCGTTATTTATTGTACCTCCATTTGTCGTGGTTTCCGGATAATCACCCCAGGTTCCAAGCCTTTCCATATTAAAAGCATTCCATTATTAAATTGATAGCATAGATCATTAAACCATTTGAATCGATCTACAAAAAAAAAATTACGTATGTAATCTTTGATACAAAATACATAAATTAAAACAGACGTTTTAAATGAATTTGATAAAAATTTCGTTTCTTATGAACACTGCCATTTACGTGACAGGTAAATGTTAGAAAAAGATAGTTACAATGTAGGTGTTCCATTTTACATATTTACGTAAGTATTTTTCTAGATTAATCAGAGACAATTATAACTTTCAATTCACTTGAAAGTTTTTAAATTTAGATTTAAAATATAGTATACATATATTTTAATAGTGATAATAGTGATACTATTTATAAGCACAATAAATATTCTTCACATATAAACTACTAATATTTATATTATTTTCAACTTTTACATATTACATTACGCCCTAATTACTATATTATGTAAAAATATCAGGTGAAGTAGCCTCTAATATGTATCAAGGAAAATCTCTTAAAAAATTACGACGCGTCTCATCCAATATGCATTGAACCAAGAAGAAAGAATACACTAAGAAAAGAATAAGAATAAACATAGAAAGAGATAGAGAAAAACTATGTGACAAATTTAAAAGAAATGTTTTCTTATTTTTCACTGTCACAAGGAATAATTGTTATACTTATCTACTTTTATTGGTAATAATTGACATAAAATCGGATGGTATCCATAATGAGTGTAAAATTAAAAGTTTATAATTTTACTATGCAAGTATATGAAATAATAATATTAATGATGATAATAATAATGATACTATATATATATAAATAAAAATATTTTTCTAGATATATTTCTAATTATAATTAATACTATTCTAAATCATTTCTAACTATAGATTTTTATATGTATAATTGTTTTTCCATAATTATAAATAATTGCATTACAATAATATATATATAGATATATATAAGTAGTATATCATTTATATTTTATTATAATAGATCATATTATTCTATATGTAATTATTTGCAGATGTACTAATAGTGCAAAGAAAAGACCCTATTGACATCGGAGACTAGTTATTCATAACAGCTAAATACATATTAATTTGTTATAATTGTTTCTATTTGTCGATAAAAGTTTTTGAACATTTAGATATACGTAATTTCTATAGTATTTTATCTTCAGACGGTCAGCTAAACAAATAGAAAGATATTTCTTCAATGATTTATTACATACACATTCTGCTCGTATTGCCACACTTACTAATTTATTTACTAACATTAATCTCTCTCACTTTCTCTCCCTATTTCTATACGTAATATTTTAATATATTATTCATAACATAATAATAGTATTTATGTAAAAATTAATTTATTTGAAATCAATCTTTCTTAATATATCTTCTATTCTTACTTTATTACTTTATTTAAAATACACCAAATATATACAATAAACTATTCACTTCATGATAAACTAATTATTAAAATGGAATTAAGTGAGCTAAAAACGTATGCTAAGCGACATGCACAGAAAATTTATTTGTACATTAATGTATTGATTATGTTAATCATAACATAAGAATTGAACTTTAAAATAATCATGTAAATTTAATGTAAATTATCTAATGGCGTCGGATAATTTTTCACAAATATGAGAAATAAATGTGTAGAGTCTAATCAAGGCCAAACAAAATTAATTTATGGAAAATCGAAATAATGTATAAAATTAAATATATAACATATTATGTATATCTTAAAAAATGAAAAATATTTTTACCTGTATTATATATTATAATCATGCTAATACATTTAACATTTTTGTGTTCTAAAATAACTATAAAATCAACGACAAATATAGACAACTAAAAGTTATCTTTTTACGAAAATTGATTTACTTTCGTAAATGAATTTTATTTTAGAAATTCACAGACTTTCAGCGTCTTATGGTTAAATAATCTTAAAGGAATCATAAATAATCTTAATATAAAGTAATATTAAGATACTTATTACAATAATGCAATATCAATATTACAGAATATATGTTTCTGTGAATGCTAATAAGTATGGTAATAAATCACAATTCATATATCTTATGACATTTAACTGACATGCAATAAATATTTTGAATTTAAATGGAATTAATAAATTCTTTTTAACTATTTATACATTAATTAAAATAATCAGATTAATTTGAAAGTAATAAATGCTAAATATCACGAAGTGGGGTAAATTAAGGGATAATCACTTTAATTTAAATATATATTCTTGAATAATGTATTAATTTATTGACTAGAAGATTTTTTTATATAATCGAAGAAATATAATTATTTATATAATTTTTATTATATAAAGCAATATTCCAAAAAAGATTAATGTGCCGACTTACATACGAAATATTATTTAAATTAACGTAACATATGCATTATTAAAATCATCTAATAACACATTGTCTGATCATAGATAGACTAAATTCAAATTAAACTGTTTTGATGGCATACTTTATATTTTTAGAAGTGTCATTAAATATAATGTGAAGTTCTGAAATTAAAAATAACGAAAAGTAAATGAGCGCATGGTCACCAACCTTCCGACGGACATTTGAGAAATTCTTGAGAAAATCCAATTATTGGAAGAAATTTCGGTGCTGGTATTCCTTTCAATGCCTTTCGAAGCTTCAAGTGTTTCAAAATCCATTGACATATTATAATATTTAATAATAGCAGCCCAAAGTAAAATATTATCCACATGATTATTGTTTTAATAATGAGAGATTTAATTAGTTCACAGATTGTAAGATGAGCTTGCGGAAACTTGGATGAAAATGACCGATACTTCGTAATAACTGGGGAACCTTTCACTTCCACTGACACTTTGCTACTGAATGACTGTTTGCGACGTCGTACGAGACACTCGACTTCTACAACATTACAACAATCTAATCTGATCATTACAAAAACTACGTCTTAATTCGCGAGAAGAAAATCATTCTGTAACATGCTGAATGAAATAAAGTACAAGGACGTTTTCGCAAATTCACTCTAATCTCAATTACCAAACAACCGTGTCGTAGTATTTTTCATTTTAATTGCGAAACTTTCAAGACTTTTAATGTATTTTTTTAACAAAAAAAAAAAAAAAAAAACATGATATTTATATAATTGCTCGAGATTAAAAAAAAAATTTATCCTAATGTGTTTTATTAGAACATGATAATCTTCGTGAATTGTATGAGCTGTTTATTTTCTTAAATTTATTTCTGAGCTTTAATCGGTTTCTAGATTATGGGAATTAATAATTAAATTATAATTTAATATACAGTGAATATATGTATACGGACAATTATTTCAGTCGTCAATCATTCATGATTACTAGCACATTGTGGATGTTTTTTTTCGTAGGAAAAGCCGTAATACGAACGAGATCAATGGTATAATGCAATAAATAATCACCATGCGATGAGATTAAATAGTAAATACATCTTAAAGAGCGATAAGATCAAACATTAAAGACAGAAAACTTGCAGTTAGTCGTCGAATGATTTTACAAAAATTTGGCAGTAAAGGTATTATTATCATTTTAAATGAATCCATTCAATTTATAAATCTAGTACAGCTAGTAATCTATAAAAAAACATAAAATAGCTGAAATTGTTTTAGCAAAAAAAACCTTTTTATACAACAATTAACAATACCAACAAGTATGAAGAAAATTAATTTTATCATACAATATTTATCATAAGTTTGTGCATTTACTTTATTTATAAAATGCAGTATTTTGCCAATTTAATAATTTAAAGGATTACTATAATTTATGCTCTAATTAAGGAAAACAAAGAAACCTTTTTATACGGAATTAACTAATAAAGATATTTTATTGCTTAATGAAAAATACGTTTGGTCTAAATGTTTAAAGCTTTGCATGAAATGGACTTCCGATTGTGAAGAAAATTCACAACATATATTTATAATCATGTCAATAGAATAGTTTGCATAAAGCAATGGTAATATATTTTTACTAATTAATAAAATGCTCAAAACATGTTCCTATACTTACAATAATGAATGAATTTTAATACAAAATTATACTTTATCTGTATCTATAAAAAGTACTGAAATAATTAATTTTTATTGTTAAATACGGCGCTCAATAAATTTAATTATTCGATTGAATTTAATTTATTATAATTAATTACTATTAGATATACTCACATCAAAATTATTTGAAGCAATAAAAAGTATAAATTCCTCGATTATTCGCTTATTTTTTTGGTAGTTTAATAATAATTTCTGATGTGTAGTTGTCAATAATAATAACAACGATATTGATTTATTTGCATATATCCATTGTCCTACGGTATTTATGATAAATATTAATCTATATTTTTATTAATTTTCCTCTAATTAAGTTCATCAATTTTTGTGATTATACACATACATTTAAAACAATTATCTTAAGTTTTGATAATATATGAACAAATGTGTATTTTTTTATTCCGTCCGAAGAGATAATAAGTACTTTATAAATATTAATTCTATTAAAATTACAAATTATTCGGGTATAGAATCGAATGTAAGAAAGTCAAACATATTTTTATTAAGTCAAATATAATTTTAGACTTTCTATTTGTCATATGAACAATAATTCACTATATTTACTTTACTCAAAAAGAATTAATTCATAATTTATAAAATTTTATGAAATAATATGGAATTCAATTGTTGATACAAATGCTTCAACTTAAAATTTCAATGTCAAAAGTAATTTTTTTCTACAATTAGTTTCTCGTTACGGAAATGTTGAAGCATGTTCGTTTCTTTGTATCTTTGTTTCTTCAAAATAATTCTCGAAATATATAAATACTCAATAACATAAATGGAAAATAAATTATATTTGCTAATATTTTTCAAATCACTACATTTCATTTATAATTATATAAAACAAAAATACGAAAATTTATTAATAAATAATGATTAGATAGGAGCAGTAATTTTTCTAAAAATAAAGTGAATAATACAATATTATAACTTTTACCTACAACTTACGTAGAAAAATATTGAACGGAATAAAAGCAAACTAAATAAAATTGATAATATAACATATAACACGTTTTTACTTAAAAATTATAATTTCATATTCTCACAATATGTACGAATAATTTATATATACTTTATGAATATATATCTATTTAAATATTTGTTTAAATACTTCGTTATAAATAAATTGACTATTCGAATTAACATTTTTATAAATGTATCATCACTACACGTAGGTTCAACCAAATACATAAGCTTAGTGTGCTTAGTGGAGTTATACATTAAATATTTATTTTAAAATATGTAAATTTATTATAGAAGATAAAATATTGTATTTGAACATTATTAATTATCATCATCTATATCGAAATACAGTTTTTAAATATCATTATTTAGATATAAATTGCTTAAGAATATTTAACATAATTTGCACATCCTTCCATTTGCTTAAGTTTTTAAAATCGTTCGAATTTACCATTATTACGTAAAAGCACAAAATATTGTTAATAAACTTCTAATTAATAAATACAATGAAAAATGTAAATATAAATTGTTACAACAATACCTACGAATTATACGAATTAAATATCCTGATATTATTTTCGTTATCACATATAACTAAAACAACAAATGGCACTAATAATAAAATAGAATTTAAAACAAAATTCATTCTGATATTTATGTATAACTAAATAAAATTTAACAAAATATGATAGAAAAATAATTGCATCACTGTTAAAACAGAATAACTATGATTAATAATAAACTAAACTTTAAATTACTTTAGAGTTATAAGCTGATTTTAAAGCACATAGGAATATACACAATTACTTATGAAAATTAATGAAACGACCAACATACTTGCAATTATATTAAAAATAAAGAGTAAACTAATTTTTAAAAAGGCCTGCTTCTAATACAATTATGTAATATATAGTTTTTCTTATATCTTTTAAAATATATTCTAATATATATGTATATATACCATTAATGAAATTATAAATAGTCGTTAACTTATTATATATTCTAACGGAGTAAAATGCACGTCGATATTCCCATCGAAAGGCTTTAATATAATTTCTGATTTAAGTTTCATCTCATGCGGTTTCAAAACACTGGAAATGTTCCATTTTTGCAAAATTCCTAACAAGGTATGTTTAATTTCTAAAATTGCAAATTTCTGCCCAATACAATTTCTTGGTCCAGCGCTAAAAGGAACATATGCGTAAGGATGTCTTTGAGCATTGTTTTCTGGTAAAAATCTATCCGGATTAAAGGTTTCAGGATCTTCCCAAACCTCAGGATCGTGATGTAATTGATATATCTGAATACTGATCCACGTTCCTTTTGGAATAATACAATTATCTGAAAAATTTAGAAAATGTCATTCTTTAATCACATTTTACGGCCTATTATTTCTAATACATATATCTAATAATTAGATAACACAAATATAAATTTTTCAACACTACCAAATATAGTTTCCTCATCTAATTCCCTACTTATTTCAGGAACACTTGGATATAATCGAAGGATTTCCTTTACGACTCTATTAAAATATTCTAATTGAGCCAAATGTTTACTCGTTACTTGCTCACAGGGATTATCCAATACTTCATTCAGCTCGTCACGAATTTTTTTTTGAATTTCCGGAGCATTACCAAGAGCAAAAAGTGACCAACTAATGGCGGCAGCTGTAGTGTCGTGACCCTTCAAAAATATATTAAAAAATAAAATATTTGGGTTCTTTAATACAAATGTAGTAAAAAAAAATCATTTATAAACTTATTATTCATACAGCAAACATGAATGTCTCCAGTTCATCCAGTACCTCCTTAAACGATAACGTATGATTTACTTCTTCGTAATGGTCCATTAAAATATCCAAAAAGCGTTTTGGATAGCGCTTACCTAAATATTAAAAAATATTAAGAATTGTTAATATTCATCCATTTTAATAATAATAAAAAAAAAACTCATAATTTTGTTAAAAATTATATCTTTTACCATTTTCGTCGTAATTAGTATCCGCATCGTTACTTGCACAAATTTCGTTTTGTCGTTCTGCTAGTTTCTGTTTTATTATCTATTTCAAACATAATTAGTTTTGCAATTTCAAACAAATTTTTATACATATACCTTTCGTGTATAATTATGCATAGTTTTAACAGCATTTCTAGCTTCCTGTCCCAATTTTGTCATGGAGAATATAATGTCCGATGTTAACCAAGGACGCATGAATCTTTCAATATTTAATTCAGAGTATCTGACAATATGAAATATATATGTTGAAGCGATATATCTAAATATTTTATCATTAATATTAGTTTATTACTTTTTAATTTTTTGAGCATATATATTGTCTGATCCAAGTTGTGAATGAACATTGACGCCAGTGGAAGCTTCACTAATTACATCAAGAGCATAATTAGTAATTAATCTATAAATATTGATAGGGGCGTTGGGATTTTTTTGTAATCGCGTCTCTATAATGTTAGTTAGTACTTCAAGATTTTTGTGCATGACATTTGCATAATTTTCAAGAGCATTGAAGTGAAATGTAGGAGTTATTATTCGTCTATGCTTTTGCCACGTTTCTCCTAAACATCGAAAGAAAAAAATAATATTAATCAAACACACACGCGCGCGCGCGCGCGCGCATACATGTATTTTAGATGTGCATTTATGTAATTCTAATACCTGTGGATGTAATGAGTCCTTTGCCAAGCCATGGCTCAAAATTTTTATAACCATTGCTTTTTGTTAGTAGCTTTCTATTTGATAGAACTACCTATTATTAACGGATTAACGGATATTCGTTAACGGATATTTTAATATATATTTTAATTTATCATTGGTAATTAAATTTAATCTTTCAAACGACATGTATTCTTTAAAAATTGTTCTTATTGCGTTATTTATTGTACCTCCATTTGTCGTGGTTTCCGGATAATCACCCCAGGTTCCAAGCCTTTCCATATTAAAAGCATTCCATTATTAAATTGATAGCATAGATCATTAAACCATTTGAATCGATCTACAAAAACAAAATACATAAATTAAAACAGACGTTTTAAATGAATTTGATAAAAATTTCGTTTCTTATGAAAATTGACATTCACTTGCACAAATCTACAAACGATCGAAACAATTTAAAGACGTTATAATTTTTTTATAATACTACAATTTCATTTATATTTCATAATGATAAAAAAAATCATGAAATTTTATAAAATAATTTATTCGTTGAACGGGAAACACCCTCATAATCTTATTCTTAAATAATTTTATGTTAATAATCCCAGACACCAACAAAATTAAGATTCTTAACATAACTTAAGTATTCGTATGAAACGTAATTTGTATTTTTTGTGTAAATGCAACATATATATAACCGTTCACAAGTATTATCAAATATAATGTGAAGTTCTGAAATTAAAAATAACGAAAAGTAAATGAGCGCATGGTCACCAACCTTCCGACGGACATTTGAGAAATTCTTGAGAAAATCCAATTATTGGAAGAAATTTCGGTGCTGGTATTCCTTTCAATGCCTTTCGAAGCTTCAAGTGTTTCAAAATCCATTGACATATTATAATATTTAATAATAGCAGCCCAAAGTAAAATATTATCCACATGATTATTGTTTTAATAATGAGAGATTTAATTAGTTCACAGATTGTAAGATGAGCTTGCGGAAACTTGGATGAAAATGACCGATACTTCGTAATAACTGGGGAACCTTTCACTTCCACTGACACTTTGCTACTGAATGACTGTTTGCGACGTCGTACGAGACACTCGACTTCTACAACATTACAACAATCTAATCTGATCATTACAAAAACTACGTCTTAATTCGCGAGAAGAAAATCATTCTGTAACATGCTGAATGAAATAAAGTACAAGGACGTTTTCGCAAATTCACTCTAATCTCAATTACCAAACAACCGTGTCGTAGTATTTTTCATTTTAATTGCGAAACTTTCAAGACTTTTAATGTATTTTTTTAACAAAAAAAAAAAAAAAAAAAACATGATATTTATATAATTGCTCGAGATTAAAAAAAAAATTTATCCTAATGTGTTTTATTAGAACATGATAATCTTCGTGAATTGTATGAGCTGTTTATTTTCTTAAATTTATTTCTGAGCTTTAATCGGTTTCTAGATTATGGGAATTAATAATTAAATTATAATTTAATATACAGTGAATATATGTATACGGACAATTATTTCAGTCGTCAATCATTCATGATTACTAGCACATTGTGGATGTTTTTTTTCGTAGGAAAAGCCGTAATGCGAACACATATTATTTTTAAATGTAATGATGATTACACGTTACTAATCATTGTTTTTTCATAATAATTCTCGGAATATACAATTAATTTACAACATAAATTATAAATCAATGAAATTGGTTTTATTTTCTAAATCACTACGTTTTATTCCATTATACGAAACAGAAATATGTTATCTTATTGGTAAATACAATGATGAATTATAATTGGAATAGATAAAGAATTTCTGATAATATGAAAGGGATTAGAAAATATTACATATTCAATATGAAATTTTTGAATGAGTATATAGAGTTGAATAAAGAGCGAATCACATCAAATTTAACATGCAATAATTTGCAATTGAATTTTTATTTATTGTAATACAATATGTACACAATGTATTTCAAAACCGTGCAACTATGTATCTTTCATATTTCAAAAGAAATATTCATGATTTTCCCTTATGATTAATTAAGGAATGATTTATTATCAATATATCAAATCAAGTAATTATACAAAATTAAAATGCTAAATTAATAATCTTGAACTTATTGTTGAAGAGTATAAATGACAACAGTGAATTATTATTTTACTATGAAAAAAAAAATCTAACGCAGAAAATCTAACACAATAAAAAAATAATTCAGAATAAATATTCAGAATTTTGTTTTTGCATCTTTATTAATGAAAGTAAGCATAATTGATGGTATAAAAAAATAAAATGAAAATGAAAATATAAGAGTAGACGATAAGAGTTCAATTAGACAGCAATCCCAGTCATAATAATGAAAAAGATGAATATGATAATATTTCATTTGTTATTATAAAAATAGTAAATGAAGATAATGAACAGAAAAATTATATTAAAAAAAAAATAGTATATTTAGTTCTATGAGAAGAAATTATTGTAACAATGATACTAGATAGAATAATGCTTGAAGATTAAATGGAATTATAGAAATGGTAATTGTTCGATTAAATAGAACATGATTGTGTTATCCAAATAATGATATATAAATAATTATATAAATTATATCAGTTTGATATTTATTTGATATTTATATAATTGATATTTATATAATAAAATTATGATATTAGCACCGCCGATTGAATTATTGCAGGAAAAAGGTTAAGTTAAAAGCTCGTTAAAATCGAATGAAAAATACATTTTTAATCTACGATGAAGTTTTCTACGTATTGAATAAAAATATTCAATGATTTTTCGATTTTCAATATGTTGAAGCCTATTACATTCTCATGTGCGCGAAAGTAAATAAGTATTGGAGTTCGTGTCGTAGATTGTAAAAACGAGGAATAAACAAAATAGCTTTGCGTAATGATGGGAAGAATATTTTCACATTTGTTGTCCCTATTTGGTTACACCTCGAGCTTATGTTGATGTGACCAACAAGTCACATGCAAATAATTCTCTCTCTCTCTCTCTCTCTCTCTCTCTCTCTCTATTGATTTTGAATTCAAATCACTGCAAACTCTAATTTACACCATCGAGTCAAATGAACAATAAACTATTAATCTATCCATTCCTCGCCAAGCAGATAAACTAGATATTATTATTCTTCATCAATATGTAGTTTTACAATAAATTTATTTCTCAAAAAACATAATTATACTGTAGGACCCGTGGCGATGTCAAATATATAACATCAGTTAACAAAAGTCTTAATTGAAAATTAATAGGATTTATTATAAGCTTTGTTTAGAATAAAAATATGCTGAAGTATCCAAAAATTTGAGGAACATATTTTTCATATTTATCTGTGATATTTTTCATCACAACGAATATGCAATATTATAATAAAACTTATTTTTTTAAAGAAATTCACGTTGATAAATTCATAATATCAATATATTTAAATAGAATATTATTTATTTATATACACATAGCATATAAATAGTTGTATTTTTGAAAGTGTGTAGTGAAAAAAGAAACGATTTTTCTAAACGATATAAACATTTATTTCTATAATTAAGGATATATTTTACCTTATAATTTACAAAATTTTTAACGGATAATCAATTGATTTATTCAAATACTATTGACTCTTACATAAATTACTTATATCTATTAACTACCAAACAATTTTATCTAATTATCATCTACGATAGTTATTAAAAGTAATTGTTACTCTGAAAATACATTTAGAATTAGTTTGATTCTGACTTATTAATTGGCCTAAGGTATAATTCGATCTTTTTATCAAAGGGTTTTAAGATAAAATTAGATATAATTTTTATTTCACTGGGTTTCAATAAACTAGCGATGTGCCATTTCCTTAAAATAACTGTCAAAGCAATTTTTATTTCTAAAATTGCAAATTTCTGCCCAATACAATTTCTTGGTCCAGCGCTAAAAGGAACATATGCGTAAGGATGTCTTTGAGCATTGTTTTCTGGTAAAAATCTATCCGGATTAAAGGTTTCAGGATCTTCCCAAACCTCAGGATCGTGATGGAGCTGGTAAATATGAAGTCTTACAGCAATCCCCTTAGGTATAAAATAATTATCTAAAAAATATAAATATTCCATCATAAATGAATAAATAAGGACTATATTTTATAAATCACTAAAGAATAAATTTTAAAAATAATAATTGATTTTTATTACTTTATTATATATATTATTCATTATGTAAGATTATTATCAGTTTTCGTATATAAGGTACGATGGAAATTATAATTGAAAAGTAAATAAGAAAGAATAGAAATGATTATTTTGGAATATTTGATGTGCTGTGTTGGACAATGTTCGTAAATTAATTTTTCCAAATCTATTGAAATTTGATGTCAATTTAAAATAACATATTTTCATTGTATTGCAACGCAAAGTGATACCGAGACTTGGTTACAAGAGGCGACGGTGAGGTTCAAGGCATAATAAGGACGATAGACATCCGTGAATCTTGGCCAGTTAAGCAGAATTTCCGAGCTTCTGCCAATCGGTCCGAGTCTTCTCTCTCGCTGGTAAACAAGAAGAAGCTCCCTTCCCCCGTCACCCGAGATCAGCCAACCGGCATAGTCTCCCGTGTCACCGCCAGTCCCGTGTCACCGCCACTGTCAGTGGCGTCGTCATCGATAAGCAAGAACTCGCTGCCACGATGCACCTCCAGTTAAACGAGGCACTGACAGCTGTTCGTTGCTATTCTCGTCTCGTCTCGCCTCTCTCTCTCTGTCTCTCTCTCTCTCTCTCTCTCTCTCTCTCTCTCTCTGTGCCTTTATAAATCATGAGTAGAACGCGTCGCGAACCGATCAATCTGCTTAAATTTCATGATTGTGGGATAATTACCACATCTGCTCTTATATTACTGTTCGTATGCATTTTCTTTTCCTATTTTACATCTCCTTCCCCCCTCATTCGAACAGTCCAACAAACTCATTGCTAATATTAACCGAATCGCATCGTTGTACTCTGTCGCTTAAAACATGAAAATTAACAATAAAATTCTATTGAATATAAAAAACATTATATTTTTTATTTCACTCGTGTAAGTGTAAAATTATTATAATATCCCTTTTATTAAATATATAATATAAATTAATTTTAAATTTAATGGCTTTAATGTTTTTTATTTTATAATATTTATTCATTTTATGAACACCGATGTTGATAAAATTACTTACAATTATTTGTAAAAGGATTTAAAATATTTATTTAAGTACTTATTAACGAATAATAATTAAAGAATAAAAATTTAACTACTTACACATAATAAATAAATTATTGTTTATTATTATTATTAGAATATATCTTGAATATCATGATATTTTACTATTTAATTTCAATTATGTTAAAATAGCACAATAAGAGAAAATAAAAGTTAATTAACTCAATAGTTAATGTGAAATATTATACTTATTATTTTTATTTTATTTTAATCTGTACAGAGAGAGAGAGAGAGAGAGAGAGAGAGAGAGAGAGAGTGTGTGTGTGTGTGTGTGTGTGTGTGTGTGCGTGCGTGCGTGCGTGCGTGTGTGTGTGTGAGTGAGAGAACGAAAAAGAATAGGAGAGTATTATATTCGCACAATCTGCGTATATTGTCACATTTGTATTAGCTACGTATTGTTTTATTATTTTTCTTGTTTTATTTCACATAAATAATGCCATTATTCTTTAAATAATCAAAATAGAGCAGTGATTTTATTTCATTTGATTGTATAAAATACTATTAAAAAATTATAATGTTCTTACCAATAACAACATTACTATCTACTAAACGATCGAATGAAGAAATACTTGGATACAATCTCAATACTTCTTTTATAACTCTATCCATGTACTGCAATTTTTCCAACTTTTGTATTGTAATTGGCTCATTATCAGTAGTGAAAATTTCTTTAAGTTCTTCTTGAAGTTTTATTTGTACATTTTGATTATTGCCAATCATAAAAAATGCCCAACTAATAGCAGATGTTATGGTAGTGTGACCCTTGAAATAGGATAAGCTTGTGGTAATTTATATGTAAAATTTTTTTATCTAATAATAATAATTTTAATATAATAATAATTATTGATATAATTATTTATGATGTGATTATGTATTTACAGCAAATATGAACGTATCGAGTTCTTCTCGAATTTCCTGTAGAGTAAAAGGAGTTTTTGTATTTTCGCACACATCTAATAATTTATCTAACAATGAAGTATTTCTGCATGTTTCTATATAAAGTAAAATATCAAATTTATCAGTATTAGCTATACTATTAGTGTAAATAAATTAATGTATTATAATATGTTTACCAAGAATATTAAACTCTTCCGTTACTAATAGCTTATTTTGCTCCCTGTCCACTTGCTTTTGTATTATTATCTATTAAATAATAAATTAATGCGTTCAAAATTTAAAAGAATATTCACATAAGTCTATGATATATCAAAAATCTATTGATTACAAATATACCTTTTCTGTAAAATTATGCATAATTTTTATATTACTCAAAATTTGTTTTCCAATTCTCGTTCGATAAAAGATATAATTCCATTTTGACCAAAAATGAGAATGAGAATTTATTATAATTTCACTGCACCTATATTAATGTAAAATTTCATTATGTTTATATATATATATTAATGTATCACCTATATTAATGTAGAATTTCATTATGTTTATATATATAGCTGTGCTAGTAATAATTACGCAGTCACTACGACGGGCTCACTATTCTATGTACAAACTTTCATACTACAGTTATCACTCACTGTAGCTATACAAGTACGTAATCATCAATTAATAAGCAATCTAACAAAGCAATAGTCACACCACACTATCAGAATCCGTCAAACTAAAATTTAAACTTATATCCAAGAAGCGCTAGTGCAAGGATAAACTAAGAGTGAAATTATCGAAACTATAACTACACATACATCAACGGATCACACCGACGGCTAAAGCAGCAGCGACTCAAGCTTTCCTTTAGTAAGCATCGGTTATAACAGCGACACTTCTCACAATACTGAGAGTACACACACTCTCATCAACACGTAAGCTAATTGAAGAAACTTCATACATAAGTCACTCATACTCACCAATCATACATTTCTATAACCATTGACTATTATTATATTATTGTATTTAATAAAGGCAAGAGCAAGATATACTGTGTGTAGAATTGAACAATCGCATTGTCTCCTCCACTTGCTAGTAACACCTCCACCCGCCATCACCGGGAGGTTTATATATATATATATATATATATATATATATATTCATTTACTTCAAATAACAAACTTTAAATGTTATAAAAAAATTTTATCTTGTCACCTGTGAAGAGTTTCAACATATTCATTCTCTTCGTTTCGTTGTAAATCCAAATTTATTCCAAAAGCAATTTCACAAATTGTATCAAGACTATATTTATAAACTAGATTAAAAATATTAATAGTTTGCGTCTTATTTAATTCCAATTCCTTGGAGATACATTCCTTTAAAATTTCCAGTTTTTCAATCATAATTGTCGAATAGAGCTCCAAATATGCCGATTTTACAAATCGACGACGATCAAACCATATTTTATCTGAATTATATAACCATAATATTACGAAATCACGATTTAACATTATAAATATATATTTTAGATATTAAATTATTTATACAATATTTTTCATATTATGCAGACATTATAAGAATGTAATTAAGTATAAAGGTGTGTTGTACAAATTAAACATAATTTAACTGAATGGTAAATTATAATTAATTTCTACAATAAATATCAGATATTGATAATAGTTAAAAAAAATTCTTGGTTCGTGCGCGCTTGCGTATGGCACACTTAATATTTTTTTATTCTTACCAATTGATGTAAACACACCATTACCTAACCACGGTGTTAATATTTTATCATTTCCGGGTTTAGTTGTAAATGAACTATTTTCTAAAATGACCTGAAATGAAATTGATAATGATATTTTATGTTATATTTTTCAATATCAACTGGACAATTGTCATATTTGTAAAATAGTCAATATTTGAAATTATTTAAATAAAAAAAAAAATGTATAAATTGTAAATTCATTTTAAAATTGTAAAATTAAAATATATATACACACGTATAATTGTTAATGTAAATACATTCTTACAGTTCTTTACAATGAGTTCATAGTAATATTTCTTATAATCATAATTTTATTTCACCAATTAACAATTAATTATTTAAAACTTATTATATGAAACTTAAGTCTTTTGTATATATATCAAAATAATATTATTGATTTGAAAATAAGTAATTACAGGTGAGAATATAATGCGTATAAAATTTTAAAAAATTTTATACGACTTAACGAATGATGTTACGCTTACGCTAATAATAACATTTATTTCGTTTACCTGTAATTGTCGTGGTTTTCGAATATTCACTGTTGGCTTTGTGCCAAGCCAAGTTACAACCATTCCATTTTTGAATGAAAAACATAAGTCGTTAAACCACTTAAATTGATCTGTAAGCAACAGATAGGTAAATAATATTCAAGTAATATACAAATAAACTAGGAAGTAATATTATTAAGTGAAATAGTAATATAAGATTAAAAATGTTCAATTATCCAGATGGAATGTACTGTTCATAAAGATTTTTATTCCGTTAGTTGATTTATTTATCTTTTTTTTTTCTTTTTTTTTTTGTAGCTATCAATTCTTATTTTCAATTACATCAAGACTAATCTATGAAAAGCAAGCGAATAAGAATTTTGAATATTAATCAAATTTTGCTTTATGAATTATAAACTAAACGGATGATAAATTGCACAAATACTAAAGTGCCTAGTATTTGTGCATATGAAAAAATATTTATTTACACAAATTTTATTAAATATATTTATAAATTAGATTTATCTATAATATTCTAATAAGTAGCAATGAGGTATTTGTTATTAATTAAAACACTTATTATGTGCAATAATGTAAATATAATTAAACACATTAGCGATTAAAAATAAATACATACGTTTTGCTATAAATACCAATAATCATTAGTATTAAGTAAAACTATTAATAATGTACCTTCCAGAGGAATTTTTTTAATTTTCCAAGATAATCCAACGAACGGATACGCCTTTGGTCCAGGTATGTATCCCAGAATATGCCTAATTTCAAAATACTCGGACATCCGAAGATAAATTATAACAAGTAAACAAAATCCTGCTATAAATGTGATACATAATAATATTGGTTCCATTATTGAATTTGCTAAGTGAAGAAATTACGCGCATTAACTCTATAAATTTACCTTGGGACTGTAATAAATCAAAATTCTTCGTATCACTACAATTATTATATGTACGTAATGATAAATATTAATATTTTCAATATTATTACAATTAAATATATATTCACTTTTCAAATAACATTATGAATTATGAGATAAATAAACTGTAGTCTTTTTAAAGTTAAAACAATTAAATTTGTCATTTTCATTAATGATAAAAGTGAATTATAAATAAATTAAATATACAAATTATAACGTAATTTTTTATTTCAATTTTTATATATGAATTTTCACGTCAATTCAGCATATGCATTAAGTAAAACTTTTATTTAATATCTCATGCATATGCATTAAGTAAAACTTTTATTCGCACGCACGCACGCACGCACGCACGCACGCACGCACGCACCCGCGCATGCACATATAGACATTTAATAATTAAATATATAATAAATATTATTGAATTTGTGCCCTTACATTTAATAAATAACATAACCACGTCATCAATTATTATTCCAAATAATATAATTTATTTTTAAAAAGTTTTATCGCATCTCAGTTTATTATATTATTCACTTCTTACTTTAATTGAGACAAAATAATGGAGATTCTATAATGCATGTAAAGTAAATATTTAACCAAATTTTATGGCTCCTCTTAAGTAAATGGAGTACGTACCTTTTCTGAATCTGCCTACGAGGTAATAAATCAAAACTTCTTAATTTTCGTGAAATTATAAAATAATATTATCTTCAATGATCAAATAGTAATGTAATTCGGCTAGTGACAATGCGACGAATGCACTTATTTTTGATCTGGCAGTATTGAAGATACACCGTATGGCAAGAGCACTGACAATAATGAAGGTGAAGACTTTGTGAGAAATTCTTGGAGCCAGAAATATTAAGTATCTACCATAGGTAATTTGATAAGAAGCCTTCGCCGCAACGACACCCAAAGTCTCGGCATCCTTATACGTCCTGAAGCCACTTCAGGCTTATGCATTTACAAATACTTTCTCATACGCACACTACCTTCCACCTTACATTACATTTCCATGAAAAGCAGCATACATATGATACTGTGTTGTCAAGCCAAAGTAAGATATAATAATGAAGGAATTGTTTGCATTTGCTATCTACAAAAGTATACGTAATTTCTAATGTTCAGCTCAATATCAACATCAAGTATTCCTAACAACATTTGCTTTGAAATTTCGCAATTTTTTTTTAAATATAATGTAAATTCGTTATAAAATTGACATATTTTTAAAAGTGCTAAAATAAATGCTTCGATCAATAAATTCCTTAAAAATTAATCAATTAATATTGTATTCCATCGGCGGTCCTACCGTTCATAAGGATAAAGTATCGATTATCGACTATCGTGAAAATATAAAATAAATAATATCAATAAGACAATAACTTAATATCTTTAACTACTACGTCGAGCATTGAAGTATTATCAATTTATAATATATCCGCTCTAGTAATTAAATAATTAAGATAAAAGGTAATGATTTATTGAGACAAGAGATTGATAAAATACTATATAATGCTATAAATAGAATTAAAATAGAGCAAAATAATTTTTCAATATTTTCTTTATAAGTTAAATTTAAAAAAATTTCATATACATTATTTAATTATATATATACATATAGCCTATAGTCTCAGGTTATTGTTAATATTTCTATTTATACATAATATTCTTAAATTCGTAAAAGAAAATGTATTACATACATTTAAAAAATTTCCATCCCATTATTAAATTAGTATGCATTATTCATATATAGCCCATTGTCCATATATATATATATATATATATATATATATATATATAATAAATAAATATCTTATCGTTAGAATAATACACACAAAGCAAGTATATTAACAATGATCCTTTATGTCTTAAGAGCATTATAAAAAATTATAAAACATTAAAAACTTTTAGATTCAGTATCATTTTGCACATAATTTTGCAATGAAAGGACCGATGTGACATGAAAATATAAATGCAATATTGTGCCCCAGGTTTGTTTATCCGAGACTCTGTGATTCTCAACGCTATTAACAATTATCGCACCATAGGGGCTCAATTATATTGGACTTTATCGGAGGCAGTGGGGGTGGTGGTACCACAGGTATTTGATTGGGCAAAAATTCACCGGGCCAAATATGAAACGTGTCCAGGATGATCAAACCGCTGAGGATGAGGCGCAAGGCGTGAACGAAAATGTTTGGTACATGCTCGCGCTCCGCACTCTTACGTGGTGGACATATAAAGACGAACTTGGAACTTCCTAAAGTGCAGAATTTCAAATACGTTTGGATTAAGCTAGTAAAGTAAATTCGTTATTGCGTGACGTGGCACTCGTTTAAGAAAAAATGTCATAATGAGCTTTTTCATTGAAATGACATCACGTGTACATTTCAATTTGCCGCCGACGAAATTATGGGCTTTTACATAATATTAATGCCTCGTGTCTCTCTCTCTCTCTCTCTCTCTCTCTCTCTCTCTCTATATATATATATATATATATATATATATATATATATCCATTTTATTCCATATATTGACGCAAAAACAATAATTATCTAAAAAAAATTACTTAATCAAACATGATATTCAGATTTGTCATTGCAACAGTAAAGCTAACAATGATCGTGGATTTTTCTATGCTAATAAATATTTTATAATCATGATTCTACTAATCTATTTCATTTATTCATCAAAACATTGCTTCGTTAATTATTTTTCCTTTAAAAATAATGCTTACTCCTCTTTCTGCACTCACAAACATTTATCATTTTGAAGGAATGTTACTGTTTACTTTGGAGTCAAGTAATTTTATAAAAGAAAAATAAATTTAATACTGAATTTCAAATTCTATCATGAAAGATATTTACTATTTCTTTATTTCTAATTCTCTTTTATTATTTTAAATACTTTTAAAGAAACGTTTAAGAAAAAAAATGAACCAAATTCTTTAAGAAACATTTATGTACAAAATATTTTTTAAATATTTAATTAATCTGAACTCTTTAATGAATATTACTAATTGTATTTGTTGCTAATTTTTTAATAATACGTAATTAAGCCAATGTTTAAGACATAAAGCTTTGAAATTAAAAATACAATAAATATTTGTAATTTTAATACGTAGAACTGTAATAGACTTTTAAGAAATTGATGTGCATCATAATAAAAAAGATTACCATTCGATGAAATTTTGTAAATGTTTGAAGTTTTTGAAGATGACTTTCGATAATGCCGAATGCGAATTGGGTTATATCTGTTATCATAATTGTTCCAGAGGAAATTATTATCTTCGATATCTTTATCTAAATTTTTAATGTTTAGGAATTTCATTTTATATAATATGAGAACGAAGCTTCAATTACGGAAATATTTTAAATAGTACAAAATATATTAAAAAAAATATATTCAAAAGAAGTAGGTTATAGACTAAAAGACTTATTACGCGAATTTATAATTTCCCTTTCTAACTTCAGATTGCAGATTATTTAAATTTATCATATTATTCTAAAACATTATTACAACATGACGTTTTAATCGAATAATATTGTTCAATTAAAAATTTTAACGTAAAAAAATAAAAAATTCATTTATCTGTTATTTGTAATATGAACAGCTTTAAAGTAATTGTAAACTGTTTCACTCTCTCTCTCTCTCTCTCTCTCTCCGTCTCTCTCTCTCTTCCCCTGTGTAGACAGGGAATTAATAATCTTATTAATAATATTTACGGAATAAATAATTTTATTAACTAACTTCAGACAATATTTGTTTATATATATATATATATATATATATATATATATATAGCGATAGTTCTCTTTTAATATAAATTTTTAACCTCATTAGGCTTAAAATAATTTGTAGTATTTGGTACGCAATTTGAGATAAATTTATATTGTGTGTATTTACTGCTAAAACAAATGTAAATAAAGAATGGCTTGTGACTATCAATGTAAGAAATGATATCACTATTAAGAAATAAAACGTATTTTTAATTTCAATATTTGACTTTATGTTTATAATAATAATAATCAATGTACTGTCTGAATACGCTTTCATTTCTAATTTTAAATAATCTTTATGTAAAACAAAGCTTCGAACGATTAAGTATAATATACTTCGTGATTGATACAATTTGATACATTAGTTTATGAATCATCTGTCACAACATTAGTAAAACAAAGGATCTGTCTATGTGATTTTTTCTTAATTTAAAATATTGAACCTACAGATCCATATCTACAAAGATGCAACACTTTCAATTGCCCAATTGGCCTACATTCGTAAAACGCCAACAAAAAAAAAACAAGATCTACAAAATATTATTAATAATAATTATAAACGTTATTCTGCTTTGTCATGTTGAATACGTTCGGTATTCGGGGAACCCTATAAGGAAAAACCCTCGGCCGTATGACGCATTTTCCCTTGCATTACGCTAGCGCATGGGCGAACGAAGGAAAAGGGCAAAGGATTTAGAAGTGTGTAAAGCATATGAAAAAACTCAACAGATCGAGGAAGTAACAACGTGTACCGAGAGCTGCTGAGAAGCGCGGTTGAGCAGTACACGAGTCGCCGGCATGACCTGGAGAAACGTTACCAGCTTCTTAACACCAGGATCGCGACGATAGAGCGCTCGGTGCTCGCCCTCGTCGCTCTCCGCATCTGTCTGGCCAGCCAAGGCTGGAGTCGATCAAGCGGCCGTCGATATTTTTAAGAAGATGATGAAGTCGATGTCGGCCGACCCAATGAAGGAATTCGTCGACGGACTGATCAAGAGCATCGAGAGCCTCCACAACGAGACGATCCAGTTGCACGTACGGCATTAATCTTCGGGTTAATCTAGAGAGCGAGAAAATTAGAGAACGAGCGAGCAAGAGAGAGGGAGAGGGAGAGGGAGAGGGAGAGAGTAGAGAAGAGTGAGGAAGATTCTACAATTTCTTACTTATATTTTATTTTCACTCCTATTCATCACTTCGTTCATTCGTCGTTAATGCTTTTATTACCATTCGATGTTGACAAATATATTTCCGCGATCATTATTATTTGCAATCAATTGTGTATTGTAATAATTTAATCGGTTAATGCAATAAATTTAAATTCATTTTAAATTAAAATGACTAAATTTTTTTTCTATATTACATATTATCTTTTATTTAATGTTTATTTGCTTTCATAAATTATTCATAAAAGCATTAATGAATAGATTAGATTTAGAATAACATTTATATTGTGCAATTTTTAATAATACTCAGACCGAATTATCATGATATTAAATTATATTACCATGTAATTTTTACTTTTGCTAAATTATTTTATCACTTTAATTCATATATTTGTACATACAGAATTCTTTTTTTTTCAATTACAGTTTTTTTTTTTTTTTTTTTTTTTAAGTCGAATCGATCTTATGTACATTTTTATTGTTAATTAACTTCTTAATCATTCATTAAACACAAAAATGTCTCAATGAATTACTTATTAATAAATTAATGTAAATGAACGTAATACCGTTAATAAATTTTACTTTTATTTATCAATATAATTTATAGTTTGCTTGTATATATGAAGATTCGTGATGTAGTTATATACAGTTTATCATTAATTATTTATTCAACCGTTATTGTCACTCAAATATAAAAAGAAAACAAATGTTTTTAACATGAAACTGTATTGAACGCTGAATTTTAAATAATTTTATTTTTGTTTACTCTATCATTACAAATAATATTTTAATACTTTTTCATTAAACCTCTATTAATCTAATTTACTTAAATAAGATACTTAATAAGAATTTATAATACAAACATTTTAGGTATTATGGCTCAACGCATATTATTTACAAAAAATATTATTGTATACACAATAAAAATGTATTTAAATCGTTAAATTTTATGCATAGTAAAGTAAACTTTAATATAATTGATTGAAGAGCGAAAGAGAGGCAGATAATTTCATGGCAGAAGTAATAAAAATTAAGAGAAAAACGAATAACAAAGGGAATTAAAATATTTGAATTTGAAATGGAAAAAATTACTTTCACACATGTATTGGTTGTTTCACTATAATCGTTCGGCAAGATCGTGAGAATTACTATTCAAATATAGTACGTCTCGATAAATTCTTTGATAATATCAAATTTAAGGACTGAATTTATCCCTTTTTCATAGCTAATGAGTTCTTCAAGTGAAAATGTAACTTACAACATTTTTGAAAACAAAGTAAATCAACAGCGCGGAATAATTGTCGACTAGACTTAAGTCTCGGATTAAAGTAATATTTGACGTGCAGTGGTAAAAAGCGCATTAAAGTAGAAAATATTCCACAAGTTTGCAAGTAGTTGGCAAAGAATATTGAATTACCAGGAACTAGGAATTATTCACAAAATCACTAATCTCGTGCATATACAAAAGATATCAAAGAACTAGGCACTAACGATCAGCAAACACCGCTAATTAGTCAATAGTTGAAAACATCAACCGAGATCGCGTCTTAAATAAAATCTGCCAATCACAAAAAGAAAATAAATTATTCACCGACTGTTAACGCGGTCATAAACAAATCATATTCGATTTGATTTATATAATGAATCTCGATCAGAATTACACGTTTGATATGTAGAAAACAATCAAGTTTAAAATTTTTCTTTACTCTTTCGTAGCCTGAAACTCTCTCTCTCTCTCTCTCTCTCTCTCTCTCTCTTACTCGATCACGTACAACACACAAACAATTCAAACAAATGTAGAATCTAAATATATACATTTATTTATTTACTTATCTCCTTTTTCAATTGACTCACAAAATATGTGATTAAAACAATTGTATATTCCAATTATTTCACAATTTTTGCGTATACTATAAATAATTCGTTTTTACCGGAATATAATTATTATCAACGAAACTACTCATTACTGAATATATATATATATATATATATATATATATATATATATATATATATATATATAATAGTATATATATAATCATTTGGAGGTTGAAGTGATAAAAATTTAATTTTTCTTAATTTAATTTTTATTCTACATTATTCTTTTTAAAGTCAAACAATCGACATTTGTTTCTTATCTTATAATAAATTTAAATTATATAATGGCATTTTAATTAGTAATAATTCAAAATGCCATTATCTTTTAACATACTGTGTGTTTACAAAAATTTTGATGAATTAAATAATTATTCATTATTATTATTTATTATTTATTATTATTTATTATTATTATTTATTATTATTATTATTATTATTATTATTATTATTATTATTAGAAAGTATTAATAATTCACGTGTATTCTATTTTAATTATCATCATAAATGTCAATATTAACCGAGCTTTCTTCTTGAGATATTTTTTCATAAAATGTAATTTCATAAATTTTACTTTCGAAACTTTCGAATTTGTTAACGCATAATAATTCCTTCGCATTCTTAATAACTTAGTATAGAGTATCATGAAAGAGAAAAGTAAGGGGCTTTTATTGTTATTATTAATCCAGGGACGTTCATTTATATCGATCATTTTCAACGACATGTTATAAATAAGAAAGAAATTTTATCGATCAAACTTTAGATGAAAATTAATTAGTAGCAAGGAATTTTTGTTTCTATGATTATAAAAATCCATCCACAATTTATTTACATATTGACAATTAATAAATTAAAAAAATTGTTTCCTATAATAATTAATTTATTTTTCCTTTTATTTATTATAGTTTAAAATTATTTTGTTATTTTGTTATAATTTCGTTATAAGGAATTTTTACAATTATCGTTCGAGTAGGCAGTGTAAATCTGACATTTGTAGTTTCGCTTCAATATCCTTTTATATAGTCTTATATTAGGAATGGGGGAAGGAATGTTCGTCGTAAAAATTTCATGCATTTCAAAGGGCAGCAATCAGAAATGCGCGTGAATAAATCTTCGTCCTCCCATTCGTTTAGAATAAGATAATAAACGCGGACGTACAGCTTATGGAGAAAAGCATGGATCTTGAGTTATTGGAATTGGCGAATGGCGAGATGGAGGAGCACGCAGAGCATTTGGAGACCAAGTTGGAGTGTACGACGAACATACAATCATTCGACGAGGTCGATCGGCAGAACCTCGTGAGAATACAACAACTGAGAAACAAGCAGTTCAGACTGAAGGAAAGTATCCGCGAGCTCGAAGAACGGGACGAATTGATGAACAACCAGGTGAACCGGATCCTTAAGCGATGCAAGGATCAAATCAACAATAACAATAAGCATCACGTACATAGGAGGAAGAAGCATTGGAAAAACGAACGTGTAAGTTTGTTGGGTGGAAGATACATTATTGTGAGTCTGAATTTTTAAGGATCGATTTGCAAGATTTAAGATGAAAACGAAGTTTCACGTTATCTTGTAATTTTAATGTCGCTTCATTCTATTTAACTTTTTTTTTTGTTTTTGTTTTTATTTTTAATCAAATAAAATAATGCATTATTTCATATTTGTATATATTGCATCAAACATAATAATAAGCTATTAAAATGTAAGTCCGAGATCTTTTTTCGGCAATACAATACAAATGTTCCGCCATAATATTCAATGCATTTTCATAAATAATGAGCGTAGAAATTATTAATAAAATTATAGTTTATAAAGTTTAGATATATATAATTTAATAAGATTGTAATTGGAAATTTCATCTTTTTTCATCATTCGTATTAATCGAAAACTTATTCTTAATTTACGAAATAATTTCCATCCCAGTATTTACAATCTAAAGAAATCCTAATTTTTTCGATAATTTGTTTATACAAAATTTAATTAATTGAATAAATAAGCAATATTAATAAATAAAAAAATGTTTCATAGGTTAAAAGGCTAAGTTATGCATTGTTATCTTTTGAAATAAAAATCAAGAGGCAAAATAATTCTAAAGATAGATGATTTGTAAAAGAAATGTAAAAGTAATGCATATGTCGATAACTTATATTTTAAACGCAATTTTTATCAATATTTATGTTACGATATATTTATTTAAATTTTAAAAATTGAATATAAAATTAAATAATTGTTCTTCCATTTTGTAAAGATATATGAAATATATTAAGTATTTAATTTATATGTATCGAATGAAGTTTAATTTAAGCATTAAACACGATATTTACAGAACAACGAATTTCCACTTGAATTTAATAAACACAAAAATAAAGTAATTTCTCACGAAGTCGCTACTAAAAATGCAGAGTCAATAGACATATTTAAAAAAAAAATGTAAATCCCGTGAACGTAACAAACGACATCGCACTTTAATTATTGATAAAATAATTCGGAAGAAAGAACACATAATAATGAATTATCTTTTTTGTGCAGAGAAAATAGTTTATCAAAAAGATTCCAAATTCGAATGCTGCAAGTGTAAAATATGAAAAATTTTATGTTAAAAATATCTACATATAATTTAAATCAAAACCGTTCAAAATTTCTGTAATTAAAATAAGAGAGAATGTACTTAAATAAATCTAATGTATTAAAAATATGAATTAAATAATATAAACAAATTTATTCACTAGTAAATAGATAAATGTTAATGTTCAATAATGTTGAGATAAAAATGTATTGAAATTATATATTTCATAAATTAAAATAATATAACAAAGTATTGCGTTTACTAAGTATTGTAAATTCCATTTTTACGTATTATGATAAATTATCTAAGTGTAAGGAAACAATTATCTTAATTTGTTCAATACAATTTATAATTTTTAATCTATCAATTATTTAAGATTACGATATTGTTGTTACATTTATATATGAATTTTAGTTTTTTAATTGGTTTAGTAAAAGAATATACGAATAAAATTGACAATAAATTCTAAAATACTAAAATAATTTATATAATTATAAAAAATTATCTACACCAATGCAATATCTCATAAACGATCGAAAGAAATTATTATCAAAACTTTGAATTGTCCATACTTTCGTTGGAATATTGAAAAAAAACATACATTAATAAGAAATTAAAATTAAAGTAATTAACAAGAAATATTGTTTTACAGGTTCAATGATTATACGCAACGCGCTAACGCGGGCATACACATGCACACGTATATTCTTGATATATAGATAAATAAAAATTTGCATTTTGCATTTTAAAATGTCTTAATATATTTTATAGCAATTATTTTGTCATTTTTCTTGAAAAATATAAAAATGAATAATAATCATTGAATGAAGTACATCGAATTAAAAAATACTGTATTACTAGACATTATATAAAATATATCTTTATTTAAAAATTGATATATAAATTGTATAAAATCATTATTATATTATAAACATTATGTGAAAATCATTATTATATTATAAACAATATGTAAAAATGGCTATTATATTTGAATATAAATTTGTTCAAAAACTTAAAATAACACTAAAATAATTCCAAAGAATATGAACGAATACAATGGTTTTTAATATATGAAATTGCAAGCATTATCCATGATATTTAAATTTTATCAAATATATTTTTAATTCTATAACATTTTATTAACCTTCCATTTTAAATTCATGTTCATCTTCACTATTTAATAACCTTGACGTACACGAAACCTTCAAATTTTAAAAATATTATACATTTTAAAAGAAATAAAATAAAAGAACGTGCTACTTCGATAAATTAAGTAAATATCACTAACTTCGAAATATATTCAATATTATTCTTTTAAAAAAGTATCGCTAATTTGAAATATTTAATAAAATCAAATAAAAACTCTACTAATTAAATATATAATTATAATCAAAATTCTTCATAGAAGGGATAATCTTTATGTTTCACAGAGCTGTAAAAAGAAAAAAAAACATCTTAATACAAATAACATATATTCAAGCGTATCAAAAATGAGATTTTAATTTAATATTTACGAATTCATTGGGCAAACTCTCCATTTACGATCAAATGTATGAAGAAGTTGCATATCATCTTCAGTTAATTGAAAATCAAAAAGCTTTGTATTCTCTTCTAATCTTATCTTCGATGCGGATTTTGGAACAATAATGTGATCTTGTTGTATCTGAAATAATAGAGATTATAGATAATTGTTGAATTATTTTCAAACAAATAATTCTAAGTATGTTTAATAAACTCGAGCAAACGTTAGAATAATAATTTATAATATGTAAAAATAATGATTATGTGAAAACGTCTTTCCATGTTACATTGTTGTACTCATAAAAATTAGATTAATAAAATAATAAAATAATATTGACTTAAGAATAACTTAAAATATGTAAAAAAAATAACTTTTTAACTATGACAAATTATTACAAGAGATAAATAATTATTTTTACAATCAGTTGGTAATAAATAGTAGTTAGGTATTATTGGACTTTGAATTAAACATTAATGCTCGCGCGTGAAAACAATATTATCAGATTATTTTTTTAATATTTCTATCAATTTACAGGACGACGATACCTGATAGCGCAGAATAACTTGGGCCGGCGTTTTCTTGTATTTATCCGCAATTTCTTTAATTTTTGGATCCTCTAATAAATTTGGATCACCTGGCTTGGCCCAGGGTCTGTCCGAAGAGCCGAGCGGACTATACGCCGTTATAAATATTCCGTGCGATTTACAAAATTTGGACAGTTTCACTTGATTTAAATATGGATGGCATTCAACTTGGTTTGTCACTGGTTTAACTTTGCATACATCGAGAATTCTGGTAAGCTGCTTGGAATTAAAATTGCTGACACCTATATTTTTAGCGAGGCCTTTCTCCAATATTTGCTCCATTGCTTTCCACGTATCGATATAATCGACATCACCGAATAGGATTTTTCCATCTGGACCCTCAGGAAAATATTCCTTACTCTCTACAAATACAAATGACTTCATATAAACTCCATTTAAAACGCTTTATGATTTTTAAAAGCAAAAAATACTTAAATCGCTAATTAGCAATACTATATATTTATCATGAACATAAGAAGAAATAGAGAATCATAATAGGAAGGATAACTTATAATTAATAAGTAAAATAAAAGGTTAAAACCTTCGTAAGCGAATGGCCAGTGAATAAGGTACAAGTCAATGTAATCCACATTCAAATCGCATAAAGTTTTCCTCAATGCAGGCTCGACCAAATCGCACCGATGCTGGGTGTTCCATAGCTTACTCGTTAGGAATAAGTCCTCGCGTTTAACAACGCCCTCCTGGATCGAGGATGTGATCGCTTCTCCGATTTCCTGCTCATTGCCGTAAATAGGAGCAGTGTCGATGTGACGGTATCCAATGCGTATTGCGTCCTTTATTATGTCAACTGCGGCGCTACCTTTAGACTACATATTTATTATTAGTAAAACAATTTCAAGTTAACGTTAAATTCATATTTTTTGTCAATGGATGGCAATCCATTTTTATCACAGATATTTTTATCACTAGATATCTATTAATTATCTTATTGTGTCTTTGATTTGATTTTATTACGATTGTGTAGATTAATCAGTCAACAAAATCATGGATATCGTAAAGTCTTCCATATTTGAAAATAATATCAGGTGACAATATGTATTTCTCGTTTTTAATGTAAAAGAAAATTGATAAAAATAATTAATGCAAATCGTCAAACGCGATTTTAATACTCAATCATTGACTATCTGTATTCAATCGTATGCATAGGCAAATTATAAAATACTATTAATAATTATTCTTAAATTCCCGATTATCCTTATTGAAAATATAAAGCAATATAATTTTTGTCAAAATTATATGCTACTGACAATTGTAGCGATAGCCGGTATTATTTTAAATATTTCTCCTATTTAATTAATAAAAAATTTATATTATAATGTTATATGATTGAAATAGAAATGAAATATCTTATATAATTTCAATATTTAAAGAATACGGCACTTGATATGTAAAGACATATCACGAACATCAGTAATTAAATATTTATCTACCGCAGTAATTGCATATATGAGCGCGCGCGCGCACTCGCACACACTCAAATCTCTTACACGATATAAATTAGACCAAATATAAATAAATAAAATTGAATTTGCTAATGAAATGAATTACTTATATTGAAGGCAACTAACTAAAACACGTAATAAATAAAATTAAAATGTATATTCAATATTAACACTACAAGCAGTGTATAGATTTTATAAGTAATCCAGTATTTTTCTTATATAATTATCCTCTAGACTTATTATTTCTTTGCGACATGTTGTACTTTCATATTAAACAGCTTATAAATATTGAATTTTCTATGCTAATATTAATTCAATTTTTTAATGAACTATAATTTACATATTTATATAATACATAGTAATTGAAAAGCAATACATAGAAAATTTATCTCCGTTTTTTAAAAAACAAAACAAAACAAAAAATGTATTAAAAATAGAGGAATGTCTGTTAGAAAAATGATTGGTACTTGATAAAGTGCTTATCCAACTTGCCTTTACAATTGTTTACATTTACGAACTATAAATATTATATGTGTTATACACACCAATTTTACTATTTATTTTCTAATGAAATTAAAATCGTGATAGTGCCATTAATTTTAAATATTATTTGAAAATTAATTCGTAATAAAAAAAAATTAATAGATCCTAAGAAATATGTGTTAAAGATTTTTATAATAATAATTGTATTATAGGAATTCTTTTTAATTTATTCTTTTAAAATTTATTATCCAAATTTAGAACTTCATGAAAAAAGTAAATTTTTTCTAATGAAAACTCTAATTGTTTTATATTTAATTTTCATAATTAATTACAATTATTAACGCAAACGGATTATATTCAAAATATGTAATATATAACCTTTATATTATTTTCCGCTTGATGTTTTACTTTATTAATTTATACACATCCATATCGTAGAAGAGCAATAAAATACATAACTTTGAACAATATCGTGATGGGTGATTGAGAATGAAAAAATTCGTTAAAAAAATATAAATCAAAAGTAAGCAATAAAAGCAATAAAACGTGAATGCAAAACTCACCTTCCACGTCCCAAGTCCAACCATAGGAATTTTATTGCCATTGTAAAAAGTTGCCAATTCTATTTTACTCATTGTTGCTTTTATTAGTTGAGATACGTAATATTGCTTAGTAACTCTGTGAAAGAGTGAAATTTTATATCGCAACACGTTAGCCGGCTAAACTTGTTGATAATCAATTGATAACTACGCTACAATGCCACCTGTATCGTACTAATATAATTGGTTACCGTATCTTTTTTATAAAATAATTTCAGTTAATAAAAGCCATCGCATTAATCGATTTAGATTTTAGTTAAGAGTTCAATAATTGACTTTTTCGAACAAAACAAATGAAAACAAAAATGTCAGATTGAAATAATTAATGGAATTAATGAGAACGACGAACAATCGAACATGGCCGCCGATCAAGTAATTCTTATTTTATTTCTGCTTTACGAGGCGATGCCAGCGTACTCTTATGGAAGATACTAGCAATATTTATTTTAAGGAAATGAGAAAATTTGTATTTTATATAATCACATGTTATCAAATATACTGTGATATAAACTCTAAGGATTTATTTATTTATTTATTTATTTATTTATTTTTGTCGAGATATTAGTGATTTAAATGCATACGTGGGTCATATTTCATTTGCAATTTTCATTTATACGAATAATTTACGATAAGTCGTGACGTTTTCATTCGTACATTAAATTTTTGCATTTTTATTTCTAAATGATTTATATATATATATATTTGCCAATACAACTTTTTCTTTTTAATTCAAAATATATTATGTGAAGAATAATACATGTGTAATTCATAATCTTGGCTTCCTGTAGTTTCCATCTGCATTTGTTGATGTAAGGAAATAAAAAGTGTTTTTTTATTAATATAATATTTGATTGTCACATGTGAATTTTATATATTTTTTTATTTACGTTTTATAAGATAAAATATATTTTATAATATTTTTAAATAAATGCAAATTAATTTCATAGAATATCTTATGTGGTTTATAAAATTTTTTAACTAAATTATTAGAATGGAATGCTGAATGGATAGTACGCACTCGCAATGCTCCTGTAAAAGAAAAAAAAAATAGAGAGGAAATTACGAAAAAAAACTTGAAAATAGAATAAAAAAAAATTTACTACAATTTAGAAGACAATAGGTAATACAAGTTTGTAATTGAATTTCGAAATTGTATAATCCATTTCAAACAAATATTGATATTAAATTAATTTTTAAATTATTATAATTTGTAGTTAAAATTGAATATTTGAGACAATTTCAAATTTCATAAAATATGTAGGCTATATAGTAATTAATTAAATTATTGTGTATTATTAGCTTACCCTTCCATTGCACAAATTCTACCATTACAGTTAAATGAATCCTTGACATAAGTAATATCAGCTTCCGATAATTTGAAATCAAAGACCTGACTGTTCTCCAGTATGCGTGATTTTGTCACCGATTTGGGAATCACAACACATCCCTGATCAAGCTTAATGAATAAAGAAGAAATTACTTAATTTTTTTTTTTTTTTTTTTTTTTTTTTTTTTTTTAATGCTTAAACGAGCGACTATAGGCTGCTAATGTTACATATTATTAGAATATTTACTTGATAACGAACGAGGATTTGAGCCGGTGTCTTATTATATTTCTTGCTTAATTCCAGTAATTTCTTATCCTCCAATAGTTTTGGATCATCTGGCTTGGCCCATGGTCTGTCCGGAGAGCCAAATGGACTATAAGCGGTGATAACAATTCCCCTTTTCCGACAAAACTCTGACAGTTTCTCTTGATTTAAATATGGATGGCTTTCAACCTAAATCATTTTATCTTATTAGAAACTTGCGATGAAAATAAAATTCTTTCCTTATTCTATTAAGTACGTGATGCTTATTATATGAATAAAATGCAAGTGACAAATGCATATTACGTTCATTGTAAGAGAATGTAGATTGGCATAAATTTTACACAGCGATCTTTATAAATTTATAATATATGATATTATAAATTTATATATATCTATATATAATATATATCTTATATAATATATATTAAATTATGGTTAAAAAATGTCATTTGATGTTTCAAAGGGCGCTTTAAAAATTTCGTCTAAAGCGTTGAAAACGATTGCATGTTTGGTAAATTAAAAGGAAAATGAATGTCACGTTCCACAATAAAGTATTTTGCAACAAAGACTGAAAAAACTCGTCTCTCTCTCTCTCTCTCTCTCTCTCTCTCTCTCTCTCTCTCAATTAAGCTTTAATTAATGCGACGTAGCGCTTAGGTAATTCGTTTATTAGTATTAAATGCTATTACAGTAGAGGTGTACATTTATTTCATTAAAACGACTAATAAAGGTTAAAAAAAATTTCTTTGTTAAAAAAAAAAAGGCAAAAAAAAAGAGAGAGAGAGAGAGAGAGAGAGAGAGAGAGAGTAGATATATATTTCTTCTTTCTCTTACTTTTCTTCAAGTATTTTGTATGAAGAAATAGTTATGGAAGTTACGAATAATAATGATAAATTAAGAAAGAAACCATTCGCACTGCAAGAAAGAAGCACTTTAAGTCGTTTTAAATGTTAAATCAGAAAATTGCTTTACGCACTTATTCTAAGAAAATGAGGAAAACAAAAAACAAAAAACTATTCTAATGATTTTGCAGGACTTGTTTTTTTTTTTTTTTTTTTTTTTTTCTTAAACGGCTAAACACAAGTTTATCGCACGTTTCGCAAAGACAGAGAAGAAAAGGTTCGAAAACCGATGCCGCACAAACCTGGTTCGTTACGGGCTTGACGTCACAGCAATTGATAATCCGATCGATCTGTTCCGAATTAAAGTTGCTGACTCCGATGTTCACCGTAAGGTATTTCGCCAACACACTCTCCATGCCCTTCCACGTTTCGACGTAGTCCGCGTCGTTATCGAGTTGTAGGGTGCCGTCCGAGTCGGTGGGGAAGAGTTCGGATCCTTCTTTGAAGGCTATCGGCCAGTGTATGAGATAAAGATCAAGATACTCGAGTCCCAGCTCGTCCAGGGTACTTTGCAAGTGGCTCTCGACAGCATTTCTCTTGTGGAAGGTATTCCATAGTTTGCTCGTAATGAAGAGATCCTCGCGTTTGATGACGCCCTCGGCGATCTTATCCTTGATGGCAATGCCAATTTCCTTCTGGTTGCCATAGACGTAAGCGCAATCAAAGTGCCGATATCCAATGTCGATCGCGTACTTCACGGCTTCGGTCACCTCGCCAGGCTTTGACTACAAATTCATGGTTTTTTTGAGTTGAATCGAGTGCCCAATAAATACCGTACAACACGGGCTAATGGATCTTGCTTTAGCTTTTCACGCGGCCATATAATTTATTAACCAACGTCATTACAAATGTGTACGCGTGTGTAGTATACAAACTGATACATATAAGTACATAAGTAGATAGATAGATAAGATTGATTGGCTTATTGATTTATCGATAGCTGGATAAGCGAAATATGGTTTAATTAAATAATTACGATAAATTATTATTGTTTATTTAATTTTTTTTAAATAATAGTTTATGATCTACATTTCTACGTGAGATACACACAAGATGAAAAAAGTACATTAAAAACAAATTCATTTTCATGTAATCTTGTAAATTAACATACAAGCGCTCGCGGTTATTAACTAATATTGTAAAGGAAAAACATTTAATATACTTAATTAAGTTTCATAAATGAGAAACAAAAATTAATAATCAAATGAAATTTTCAATCTATAGTTATCTGCAATAATAATAATAATGCAATATTTGTTAAAACTACAATATTCTTAATTAAAACTACAATATAAAAATTTAAAAAATAATTAAATTCTTACATTACTGAGTTAATACAATGGAATTCATTAACTAAAAGTATTACAAGTCAATTCTATGATTATAGAAATATTATTACAGTTCCAAGTAATTAATTAAAAAAAATAAAGACATATTTTTCCTCGTTTTAAGGTGAAATAATAATTCAACGAACATAGATAAAAAAAAAAGGCAACACGTAATTAAAAAAAAAAATTATACATCATTTTTCTAGTACACTAATAATATGAAATGAAGTGTTAAAAAAATTTAAAAAAATTTTTTTAATTGAAACAAAAGTACTTATATCTATATTTACCTCTAAAGCTAATTATCGATCACATTAAAATATTTATATTGTCTAGTTTCAAGATAGTAATACTTTATTAATATAAAAGGTAAATTTATTAATTATAATTTTGAAATTACATATCGAAAATGTTAAGTAGGTCCAATGTTTCACGAAGTAAAATAAGTTTTATCGTCAATTTTACAGATATCACAATAATTTTAACATTAAGCTTATTCTTCAACTGCATTAATTCATGTACGTGAGTGTGCGTGTGTATTTTTCTCTTTGCAATTGAAATTGATGTTCAATTAACAAAACTATATAATTACAAAGGCTGGTTCCCTATTCTACATATTTCTATAATAAATATAATATGTAATTTGTAATTATTAATTAGTTATTTAATTACAAATTAATTACAATTACAATTATTTAATTACAAATGAATAATTATTAATTTGTAATTGTTAATTACAACGTGTAATAAAACAAAGAGTAGGTACAATGTTTCAAAATAAAATGCACCGGAATCGTAAGTTTGTGTGCATGTGTGTGAGTGCGCGTGCATATATATATATGCATATGTGCATGCGCATATGCGCAAATATATAACCTCACCTTCCATGTGCCCAAGCCGAATGCCGGAATAACATTGCCATTGTTGAACTTGATATTCGGCACGCTTAAAGACATCTGGAAATTCACGATATTACTCTTAGATGCGTAAAAAAGCTTCGCTTCAGCGACCCAAACGACTACTACACGGTAACTAATCGCAATAACAGCTCGATACTGATTGCTGGAATCTTCTTTTAAAAAATTGCATTCTTTTCCCGTCAGATGCCAGGCCCATAAACACATGTACGCGCGCGCGTCTAACAATTAGTCAGTGAAGTATGACTCAATTCCTCTCTCTCTCTCTCTCTCACTCATTCCCCTTCCAATTAAAAAATTTTTCCCTTTCTATGAGCAGATGTAGCCGATTGCCAACACAGCAATTGGATGGAATGTTGAGAAAACCATTGACTTTATTATCCTCCATTGGTTGTCAAAAGCACACTTATTTATACGATTAAGCGGCAAATCAAAGGGTGTCAACGAATGGTAAACATTTAAAATAGAAATATATTCTTCGTGTATGAAAAATTTGAATATTTTCGGGAGGTAAGTAAAAGAAAAGAAGAAGAATGAAAAAGGGAGTTAGTTATAAGAGCGATATATCTCATTTTTAAGGATGCCAGGAATAAATTGTAAAATCATTTGACTTTATACTTATTAATAATCTATAGTTTTTAGCGTAAAATTTGTTATCGCTATAATAATTAATTTAATCTATTTAATTAAGATCTCTTAGCTAATGGTAATTCCAAACTTAATAATTTCGCATACTCTTGTTGTTTTCCTTCGCAATATTATTTTCAAAAATACATTATGTTACGTTTTTTATTTTTAAATCTCCAAAATTTAAATAAACAAGCCGTATTTGTTCAATTGTCTTATAATGATACGACACTGCAATCGAAAATAGTAAAAAATTCATATTAATTTGAATATAATAGAGATTAATATTGCATGTTCATTTCAACACCTTCCTGATTTTATTACATAAAAGTAGATTTACGTGTAAAAATATGCCCTGAGTCATAAATTCTTAAGATTGCTGAAATATTAATGGAGAAAAAAAAAACAAACGATTTTTAATGATCGACGTCACAAGTAGAACAAAAACCCCACACCGTTCCATATTGACTGTACAATGAATTTCTACAATTTTTACTCGTTCTGTGCAAGCAAAAACTTGGGAATTATTATTCCCAATACTGCAATAACCGTAGCCTTGTATTACTTATTTCATTTAATTATATTCATCATAGCGTTATGCTACAAGTCCATAATTATTTCTAGTGAATACATTCTTCCGTAGTTAAGTACATAAATACTATTTAATTCGCACGTTATATATTATGCAATACAAATTCATTTACATGCCCTCCCCAAGTCATTACAACAAAAAAATCTTATGTAATAATGTAATAATGTTTTTATCGCAAATACATTAATCTACAGATTATTTGAATTTATGCAGTTATTTTTATAATATAGAATATGATAAACAATGATCGAAGAAACCATATTTACAATGATACTCTCATTGCCAATCTCTAATAAAATTCGTAATTAAAAATTGGATAACTGATAAGACGAAATGAAAAAACTTTTTCAGCGTATTCTTAGAGCACATTATCATGATTCGTTTTTATTTCTTTAGTGAAGAAAGAAAAAATATTTACTTCAAGTTTATCAAAAAATAATTTCTTTTTGCTACATTAGCAATTTAAAATATATATAATTTTATATTAATCGTTTATTTTGAATTATCGTCGTATAAAAATTTGAAGAAAAAAAATCCGAAGAATTAAGGTAATTTTTTAAACAAATCATACAATCAAATTAATTAAGCAGAATTCTTGTAGACTATTGTAACGTCATTATTCAAGGGCTTTGTAATTTTGAAAACAGATTTCTTTACTACTAATTTACTATTAACAAATGTAAATGATTTTACACAACTAGAAGGTACAAGTGACAATTATACTGTTATTATAACAACCATAATAAATTATATTTAATATAAGAATGGCGATTAATGAGTGACGAAAAATATGTTTATTTTTTTTCTTAAATAAAAACTTTAATTTTTATTTACTTCTTTTTTCATTCATTTCAGGCGCACTAATATTTAAATTAATATTTTTATTTCACTATATATACTTGGCATTATCGATTGTTTCCAAATTTCAAGAAACTATTCGTTAATTGTATACTTTATAACCTATTGATAAATTCCTCATACAAAAGAAAAGAAAAAAACAAATCCGATTTACAATAGTACATACATACAGCACTCAGTTGTTTATCGCTTCGTTTTTATGTTTTTATTTGATTACTTCTGTATCTTTTTTACGTATTATAATATCATTCAATAGCAATGTCTCTCATCTATCTAGAATCTCTTTAATTTATTTAATAGAAAATGGGAAATTTTTATCTTAGTAATAGTTACATTACTTCTGTGAACGTATTAATCAAATTGGTATTTTTCATTATTTGTCTTTGAAAATAAGATTGTTTGTCACATTAAACACTACATTAAACAAATAATTTGCGTTATTTGTTGCAATAAAAGATTGAAGAAAATTGAGAAACTGTGTCGAGTAGTTTAATGCAGAGTTAATTTTCGCTGATAACGAAATTGGATAAGTCATCGTAGAAAAGACTAATAGAAATATTACGTGAATAATGTTAAAAATATAATAATCTTGTACGCCCACAGACTCTTAATCTGATTAAAATACAAAAACATTGTCATGAGTCAGAGGAAAAAGGTAAAAAAAGAAATACTCTTTTAAAAATGTATATTATTTATAATATTACAACTATAAAGAACGTAAAATAAATTAATAGATATTAATGGATAATAATTAATATTTAACCTACGTTATAGTTAATTATATGTAATATTGATTTAATTCATACGATAAAAAACATAATAAACTAAATATTTAGTTTATTTCCTATTATTAAGATTGTAATTTTTTAAATTAATTTAAAAAAAAAAAAAAAAAAGAACTTTCTACAATACTAGATATTAAATACAAAATTAACTTTTATAAATTTTTGTCTAAAATGTGAACGTAAAAATAATTATTATTGATTGATTATACATTGAACAATATTTTAAATAATTTTTTTTTTTTTTTAACTACGACTCTAATTATCCATCAATAACCAAACTATAATATAGTTAATAATTTTCATATTTAATAATGGTCAATTATTTAATAATAATTTAATAATTTAATAATTACACAATTTATGTTTATAGATTTATAAACCCATACAAGATCGATCAATTATTTATGTTGCTAAAATCATAAGATTGTTTACAGTTTATGTTATTATTAATAATAAAATTGCTTAAAAAAACAATAAATTATTTGTATTAATGCCAAGTATGAGTGACTTTTTTCTCGTTGAAAAAGTAATAATATGAATTGTTTTTACTTACAACTACTTAAGCTACTTACGTAAGAAAAATTAAATTTTTAATTAATCATAACTCGTTGTAACAATGTTAACTATCATATAATAATGCATCGAGACTTATTAATACAAATTTATATTATTCACAGGAATATTTCATAATAAAAATTTAAAACTTAAGCACAATAATAATATGTATGCAAAAAAAAAAAAAAAAAAAAAAAAAAAGATTTAATAAGATATAGGTATCATAATAAATGCATTTGAAAAATTTATGGTTCGCACATAAGCGATAATATAAGATAAAAACATATGATGAATATTACTCCTCTTTTGATTCGCAGACAAGATAATTAGAAAAAAAATCTACAGAAATTTAAAATAAAAAAAGAAAATAATTAATGCAGTTATCTTATTTTCATACTTCCTTGGAAAGTTTTTCTTGTGAAAAGCAATTAATATGCATTAATTAATACAATAATTACTCATTGTGACTTAAAAGGCAGAAAAATGTAAAAAATAAAAAATCATCACAACTAGAGCTTGCAATTAAAAAAATGTTCTCGCTTAATTTATTAATAAAAACATTTAATCTTATACATATAATAATTTCTTTTAAAATTTATTTATATAATATGTGTATGCTCATAAATATTATCATAGACTCAAATTCTAAAACGGATAGTATTTTGCTTCCTTAGCACTGAAAATAATACGTACATTTATTAAAATATCAAGACCGATATACAAAATAATTTAATACTAACTCTGCGAGAAGTGCTACCCGCGTATTCGTTTCCATTCCTTCGATAATTTTAACTTCCTTGTCCGATAAACTGAAATCGAATATATCCAAATTTTCCTTAATTCGCGATTTTGTCACTGATTTTGGAATTGGCGTTACATCCATTTGAAACTAATAAATCAGCTATTAATAATTCCTAATATTCCAAATGCACACAATAGGACTTAAATTATTAATAAAATACATACGATAAATCTACATGCGATATTTGCTGGAGTTTTCTTGTATTTTTCACAAAGTACTTTAATTTCCGGCCTATCCCATAAATTATTAATACGAGAATTCTCCGGTCGGCCAAGTGGCGAAAATCCCGTAACTGTTATTCCATATTTCTTACAAACCTCGATCAAGTGTTTTTGATTTAAATTCAGCGACACTTCAATCTGCAATAAATTATTTCTACCATTTATATCTAATGTATTTATTTTTAAGCTAGATCTTTATAAAAATTAAGGAATATTTGGGTAAGGCATAATATTATTATTTTTAATACTTCACCAATGATTTGCTCAATTTAATTTAATCTGTTCATAAATAAATATTTATGAATTTAGTGAATTTTTAGTGAAAATAATATGTTTCTTCTATTAGCAAAGATACATTATTTTTTATAATTTCCATTCAATTATGTAAATATTAAATTTGGTTATTTTTATAGATTAAAGGTGAATATTAGTTAGTGATATATTACAATAAAATATATTTAATTACTAAACTAAATAATTGAACATTCGAAAATTAAATAATGTAGGAAAATGGTTAGTTCGATCAAATGTTGATTTACTTGATTATTAACAGGTTTTATATTGGCTGAAAGCATTAGCCTATCAATTTGTTCGGAATTAAAATTGCTGATACCAATACTACGTGCAAGATTCTGACGTTTGCATTCTTCCATTCCTCTCCATGTTTCAAGATAATCAGTGTCTTGAAATTCTACTTTCCCAGAAGCATCTTTTGGAGTAAACTTATCCCCTGACTAAAATGTAAACATTGCATATAATTATACTAAATTATCTATTGTTCATAACAGTTGATTATCCAAAAACAAATAGGACGTGTTGTTATATGTTACTTTAAAAGCAAATGGCCAATGAATGAGGTAAAGATCTACATAATCAAAACCCAAGTTCCTTAAGGACTCTTTACACGCTGGTACTACTTCATTTTCTTTATGGCTGTTACACCACAACTACAAAAATCATTGCATTATACGAATATATCAAAATATAAATCATTTTAATAACATCTTTCGTCTCACTTTTGTAGTTATGAAAATATCCTCTCTCGTTACACTACCATCATCAATTTTTTCACGAATAGCATTTCCAATTTCCCTTTCATTTTCATAAAACGCTGCCGTATCAAAATGTCGGTAACCAATTTCAATGGCATACTTTACAGCCTCTCTTACTTCTCCTGACTTGGACTAAATAAATAATACAGAAATAATTTTCATGATTGAAGATACAGTTAAAAACTTCTCCGTAATTTAAAAGAACCAAAGCTGCAAATATTTACACTTAAGTCTGTGGGAGCTTAAGTGTGAAATTCTTAAATCTGAATGCTAATAGATAACATTGCCTTTATTTACCATGTATGTTCCAAGGCCAAACATGGGCATTTTGTAGCCATCGTTGAATGTTATAGTAGGAATGGTCATCTTGATTACCAAACCAATTATTATTAAATTAATTATAAATTTACGTGAGCAAATCTTCTCGTCCGGATATTACAAAATATATAATCAATTGAACATACAGCTATTAGAAAATATTGCTATTAAAATAACTGCGAAGGACACAGAATACTGTATTAAATGGTTCGATCCAAACATGTATGTTAAGCTAAACAATGTAAAAATTTTGTTGCAAATTTTTAAAGTTATATTTCAGATTTTGGTTACTTAATTGTTATTTAAATTTTTCATACTTAAAAATCCGCAATACATTATAGTATTAAATAAATAATTCAAACGCAAATAGTTCAATGTATTTCATACGACGATTATCAAAAAATTAACATGCCATACATTAGATAATTAATATTAATTAACAAGATAATTCAATGCTAAATAACTAAACGTCAAGTAATAAAATAGGATCAACTTATATTTTTACCAATTTAAACAATTAACTGTTTAATTGGAAAAATTTCTTTTTGTGCCTAAAGGTAAATGAATACCTGGAGTATTTAATAATTTTGAAAAAATTAATTCTAAATCATTTTAAAGATTTTTACATGTGGCAAATAAAAACAAAATCATAAAAGTGCTTATCATAAAGGTTATGTCATATTATTGATTAATTAATGATAATTTTCCACATTAAAGTTCTAATTTGTAAAATGTTATAGAGCAAATTCTATAAGGATTAATGAGGATTTACGATACGAAAGATCCCGGAAATCGTTAGGATCCAGCTCCTTGCATAAATATGTTTGAATTAGTGTTAAGATGACAGCTAATCAAATCTGTGTCAACCTCAACATTTCAAATTGAATTTGAATTTTGACTTATATTTACCGGCAATTTTGGAATCGAAAAACAAATTTCAGTAGGCGAATGTGTGATAGCGAACGTGAACTTATGATTATACACTGATGTCACGTTTTTTTCAATTCCACTTTTCTCATACAATAATACGGTAAATATGGCGTCATGGACGTGCTGGTCTATATCTATGGTCACGTGCTCGCCTATACGTGCAATTAAAATTCCTAAATAATCAACAAAGATTAAAATTTGAATGTTAATTAAACTTTGATCGACATACTTCCTCAAATTAAGTACTTCTGTTCTATTGAGATTAACCTAACCTAACGTGTTCCTCCCACTACTCAATTTTTGAACGCTGCCAAATCACAAAATTCAACACACTAAGAATGTACAAGCATGATGCATTGTATTTTTTAAACGGAAAATTTTATGCTTTAATTACTTGATTGTAAATAATATTATTATGATCTTGGGTAAAATTTCAAGTTCTAACTGTGAACATTAGTTATAACATTATCTACACGATGACTTATGATTTATGTAAAAAGAAATTCAACACTGCAGGTGGAGTCATTTATTATTACTTAAGAACGTTTATTATATATCAATATTCTACTTACAAACGGTATAAAAAATGCACATCTATAAATATAATTTTTAAACTTCTTAAAATTCAATATAAAGAGTTTAGTGCTTAGCACCTGAAATAATAGATTTATATCAATAATCAATATAATTACGTAGGAGCGGTTATTTGCTATATATATAATGTATTCTAGTACAAGTTCAAAAGTCAGTGTCAAGCTAATATATTTTTTATATCACTTTTTGATATAATTATTCGATAACCCTTGATTCTACTATTCAATAAGCGAAGAAATTTAAAAGTCTTGCACGAGATTTAGATTAGTCAAATTTATCAATATTCGCTAATCGATGACTGTAATAAATATAAGAACTATATATTATCTACTCCATAACAAATAACAATAATGTGAATCAATTAACTAATCAAACTGATATAATTGACAATCAGATTTTTAATTACTTATTCAGCTGGCTGACTAAATTTAAACTTGGAATGATGTTTGACAGTGTTTTTTGTTTCTTAAATTATCTTTCTTGTAGAATTTTTTTTTCTTTTTTTTTTGCACAATGATAATCGATAGAACAGTATATTAAATACTTTATATACTTTAAAGAATATTGAAAACTCAAATATCGTATTTCTGTAAATGTCTTCGCATCGATTGCTTAATAATTCTGGTAATTATGTGTTCTCGATGCTGTAAAAGAACTCTCGCTCGCAATGCGACGCGAGCATCGGTCTAGTTATACGTTCTGGCGAAATTACGGTCGACATCAGGCCCTGTTAACTAGAACTGACAGCAACTAACTAGTGACCCTAAGGGATCATAGCCCATCGCAACAATGGAATTTCTCTTGCACAGGTGCACAAAAATCCTATTCCGATGAACATTGACTTTCATTACGTTAACGACTGGCTTCACGATCACATACTCCACGAGCTTCGTCAGAAGATGGTTCGCATTTGCCTGTAGGATAAGGAACAATTTTAGAGCTTGGTGTCGTCGACATGGAAGCTCCATGCTTATTCGTGTCACTACTCTCAGTGACACTTGATTGGATGCTCTTCGAGCATAGCAAAATATCAAAGGCTTTAAAATTTACGAACATTGCTATTATTACATATACCTATTTTTTTTTTTTTTTGGAAACTTTAATTACTTAAATTACTATGTTATAACATGGTATAATAGATATATTACCGATTTTAAAGCAGAGTTAAAATTAAATTCTTTATTGGATTCGTGATGGATAGCTGTAGCAGTCGTACAGGTACTCAAAGGTAACCAAACGAAAATTATTGTAAATATGCGATATGAATTAGGTTTGATTGTTTGTTACTGAGTGCGAATGGTTGCTTATACAGGCTTTGTCGACAAAATGTCTCTATACTTAACCAAATAACAAAACGAACGCCAAAAACATTGGTTCCTTCTTATCCTCAGTTAACGTTAGCTACAAGAGAATTATTAAACGAATTTATTAATTTTAATATCAGTCATAATAAAATAAAACGTGTTATCGTATATTTATTATTATTGTTATTCTTATTTATTTACCTTTAAAAAATAAAAAAGAACATTTATTTTATTTTTTTTTATCGCTTCTGCCACTTTATGTCAAATAGCTCTACCAATTTCTGACTCTACCATCGACAGTCGCACAGCTGTAAAGTCGATGACCACAAAGTTGGATGACGTTCTCGGTAGAATTTATAATTTGTATATGATCCCTCTAGGATTAAATTCAAATGTTATTTGAGTATAATTTTATTATAAATATTACACCATGATTGGTGAAATAAATAAAAACAAAAGCCGTTATTATTAACGAGTGCCTAATAATAAAATAGAATGAAAATTATGGTAATTTTCGAAAACGATGGTGTAGGTAAAGACCAATGAAATAGTCTCGTATTCGAATTAAAATTTCGTGAATTCAAACCTCGACAATAACATCACAATGAAGAAAATAAATGAATAAAGGTAATTTAATAGCCTAACTCGATAAATTGATGAATAATTTAAAATTGCCGACTTGTAATGCATTTACCTACAGAATACTGCATTGACTGTAAGTATAAACGAAGCCTATTATGATTTATGGCCTTCGCTACTCATCGTTATAACATTGACTTTTGACGACATTAACGCAAAGACGTTACCAATTGCTTTCTTCAACACTCAATCACGAATTATCTGTATTACAAGTCATATGATTATTGATTATTTATTTACTATGAGCTGCTAAGCAACAATAATTCGCGTCGCGACTAAGCAAACAAGCGCAACTGACTCGAATCGCAAATTTATCGGCATTCAATCATTTTAACCCACTGACGCGTGCTCAACGAGTTATAATCAATACGAATTTTCAGTTTTCCACGGCACATCTCGTCCATAACCTTTTGTCCGTAACTAATCATGTTTTTGCACTTATCATCGTTCGATCTTTCCGTTGCGTTCATGCACTTTTGGCTTTGCAACATAGATTGCGCTCGGTGCTTGAGAGTTACGAAGAAAAGAAGGAGAAAGTAAATTAAACAAATTTCCTCTAATAAAAAACATTTCAATTCTTTTAAGAGCATTTGCCATTCATTGTAATTCTCAGATGTTTATTATATTATATTTATTGCGAAGCAACATATTATTAAGAATATTAATAAGAAATTTAGAACGATTATATACGCTTACGTGATATGCATTTTCAATTTAATGAAAAATCCGATTATTAAAGTATATTACACTCTAATTTCTGTAATGTTTCAATTGTCAATTAGATGCAATTAAACAATTAAGATTCCCTACATTAGATTAAAAACGACATTGTTAATTGTTTAAGATTTTTTAGCCACCACAAAATTTTCATTATAAATACGTAAGAGCTATTTCATAAAAAATATTGATAATCTATTGACATGATTCGCGTGTAATATATATATATATATATATATATATATATATATATATATGTTTGAGAAACAGCCAAGTATGACGATTATAATTATCAAATATAATCGCCGGCTGATTTTAAACAGTGAATAGATAAAATTTACGATTCTCATTGTACAACCATTAAAAAATTATTTTACTATTTCATCATATATTGCTAAGTCTGACAATTTTTATAAAGAAATTATGCATTTAACTACAAGCCTGAACTTTTATTAATAAAAAAAATCCAATATATAAAAGTTAATGTAAGCTAGATCAATAAGTACTTATTTCATGAATGTAATGAAAATTGTTAAACCAAGAGAATGTTTTTAAATTATGTGCGAACTGAAAGCCGTGAAAACCATTAAACGAAGTTAGAATAAAAACTAAAACTTAAATAGACGATCGTATTTATTTATACAATAGACATTATCATAATCTTCGAATGCATTCCAAGATAAGCATGTATTTAAAAAAATTTTTTTTTTTTTTTTTAAATAATTAATTTGCAAATAAAATATCACTCCAAACATTTCAATAATTTTATCATACAACTATAAACGATGGTTTATAAAGGCAAAATGCATAATTTGAATATAATATAAACTTAATCATTCGATCATTCGAAACAAAAAAAAAAAAAAAAAAAAAAAAAAAAAAAAAAAAAAATTATTACCGGTAAATGGAATATATAAATAAATGGAAAGGAAAATTATTTAAGTGATTGTAAAGTATTCGGCAATTTATTATAAATTATCCGTGATATAA